GCGGGACTCCTCAATACTTCACCATATTCTTTATCATCAGCTTGGCTGCCTTCTCTGTCGAATAGTGTAGGGGCGTAACAATGAAAGTTGCAAACTTTGAAAATCGATCGACCACTACGAGTATCGATCTCAGTCCCCCTACTGTCGGTAAGCTTGATATGAAGTCCAAGGAAATGCTCTCCCACGACCTTTCTGGTATGGGCAATGGCTCCAAAAGCCCTACCGACTTCCGTTGCTCCACCTTATCTTGTTAGCAAGTGAGGCACGTTCGAACATATTCCTCCACATCAGTCCTCATCTTCGGTTAGTAGAAGGCCTTCTCTACGAGAGCCAAGGTTTTATGAATGCCTGGGTGTCCAGCCCAAAGGGAATCGTGACACTCTCTCAAGAGTTCACACCTCAAATTGTCCACTTGAGGAACATCAACTCGATTCCCTTTTGTGTAAACAAGTCCCTCTTGGACCCAAAATCGACGTGCTTTGCTTTCTTTGATGAGCTGCATTAGGGTTACTGCTTGGGGATCACTATACAGTCCATCCCTGATCCTGGAAAGGAAGTTGGAGTGTAACTGACTTGCTTAGCTTCTACCCTCCAACTATACGACATTCACTCATTCCACTTTTTAGCTCAATGCATCGACCACTCCATTGCCATATCAAACTCAGCCAGGAAGTCTTGCTATCATGCTTCCTTTGGGGAGAGTTTTTTTTTTGAGTTTGGAAATAGCTCAAAGCGATGTTGTCTGTCCTCAGCACAAATCACGATCCAAGAAGGTAGTGCCACCAAACTCGTAGACAGTGGACCACCGTTGTTATCTCTTTCTCGTGCACCAGATACCGTCGCTCGGTCTCGTTGAGCTTACAGCTCTCATAAGCCACCGGATGACCCTCCTGCATGAGTACTCCCCCAATAGCGAAGTCTGAAGTATCTGTATAGACTTCGAAGGGCTCCCCATAGTCCGAAAATTTGAGCACCAGTTCTTCCAACACAGCAACCTTTGGATCTAGGAATACAACTTCATATTTGTTAGACCACCTCCAAGGCTGCTCCATCTTCAGTAACTCCATTAATGGAGTTGCACTCTTCGAATACCCCGTTATGAATCGTCGATAGTAGTTGACGAAACCAAGGAAGAATCTCAACTTTAGCACCTTTGGAGTTCGTCATTTCGCAATAGCTTGCACCTTCAATTTGTTCATCCGAATGGAGCCATCACCGATTCGATGCCCCAAGAATAAGATCTCCGTTTGAGCAAAGTAGCACTTCTCCCTTTTCACGAATAAAGTATTCTCCCTAAGAACTTTAAAAATTGTTCAAAGGTGTTCGACATGCTTCTCGAGCATTTGGCTATAGATGATGATATCATCTAAGTAGACGACCACGAACTTATCCAAATACTCTTTGAATAGTTGGTTCATAAGAGTGCAGAATATGGTCGGAGTGTTGGTTAAGTTGAAAGGCATCACCAAGAACTCAAACACTCCATACCTGGTCATGTAGGTTGTCTTCGCTTCGTTGCCTTCCGCAATGCGCACCTGCTAGTACCTCGACCGGAGGTCGAGTTTAGAGAAATACTTGGATTTACCCAATTGATCGAACAAGTTCGCGATGAATGGGATGAGATACTTGTTCTTCACCATCACTTTATTGAGGGCTCGATAATCGACGCATAGTCGGAGGCTCCCATCTTGTTTCGTTTGGAAGAGAACTGGAGTTCCAAATGGTGCTTTAGAACTGCGGATGAGACCATCGCTTAGTAGTTCACCTAACTGCTTTCTAAGCTCTACCAACTCTGGAGGGGGCATGCGATAGGGTGGTCTCGCTGGAGGCTTCACTCCTGGCTCCAGCTCGATGTGATGATCCATGCCTCTACGTGGTGGTAGAGTCTTCGGCAACTCGGGTGGCATAACATCTGTGAACTCCTTTAGGACGTTCACCACCACAGCAGGTTCATGAATGACATTCTCGTCGAGTGGCTCTAGCTTCATAGCAGCCACGAATGTTAATTTGTCTTTTCGTACCCCATTCTTCAGTTGTAATGTTGATATCTGTTAGGGTTCCCTGGTTCTTCTCTGAGAGACGGGAACCACATAGGGGCTATCACCTCCCATCATACATAGGGAGTTTAGGAATGACATTGGCACCAACTTTATCGCGTGCATGAATTCCATTCCAAGAATCACTTGGAAGTCATCCAGTGGCACCGCCATCATGTTTGTGTTTCCGCTTCATGTTCCGATCTTGATAGGAACTCCCTTTGCCAACTCGGAGATTCGCTCGGCCTTCGAGTTCATCGCCTTCATTCGACTTGGGTTCTTCTCCAAGATCAGCTTAAGTCGCTTTGCTTCTCGATCGACAATAAAGTTATGGGTAGCGCCCGTGTCCACCCGTGCAATGGTGGACACGGGCGCTACCTTTTGAGCTTGGCCCTTTGTGGGAACTTCTCTTCTTTTGTTCACCCCCGGGCTCCTTCCCTCGAGAATATTTTAGGGGGTGATTTCCTGAAGATTGTTTCCTTTTTCCCGGGTCCTCAGAGGAAACAAAGTCGGTGAGTCTTTCTGCAGCAACATTTACCCCAATCATATCGGTGATATTCCTTCGATGTAGTTCTTGTTGCACCCATGGCTTCAAACCATCGAGGAAGCTAAACAACATATCCTTCTCGGACATGTCCTGAATGTCCAGCATCAGTGCAGAAAATTGCTTTATGTAGTCTCGAATGAAAGTATTTTGACGGAGTTATCTTAGTTTCCTCCTTGCGACGAACTCTGTATTCTCGAGTAGAAACTGAGTTCTCAACTCTCGTTTTAAGTCCTTCCATGTGTCCATCCGACACTGACCTTATTGGATCTCTTACCAATGGGTTCGCCACCAAAGTTTTGCATCCCCATTCAAATACATGGTTGCTATTAAAACTTTGGTTTCTTCAGAATCAGGCCTCGTTGCTCGAAAGTATTGTTCCATGTCGAAAAGAAAATTCTCGAGCTCTTTAGCATCTCGGGCACCTCTATAACAATGTGGTTCGGGTGCCCTCAAGTTTTATGGCGGCGCAACGCGGGTATTACTTCCTCCTGCATTCACTGCTCTTGTGAGTATGGTCGTCCTGGAAGTGAGTTCTGCCATGACTTCCTGTAGATGTTACACGGAGTCTTTGGTGTCGTCCGACAGTTAATCGACTAGGGCCTCGACCTTGTCGATTCGGGATTTAGCTTCTTCTTGCGAGCTCTCTACCCAAAAAAACCTTCGCTGGCCTTGGCAGAGTTCTTCCAAACTCGCTTCAAGAATATCCAAGCGGGTTTTCGTCGTTGTGAGTCTCTTCTTACGACTCTTTTTCCCGATTGGCGCTCCAGATTGCACCTCTTCCGCTCGTGGAGAATAGTCAATTTTTCGCTCATCATGTTCGCTGTCATAATCCTCCAAAGTAGCTCTAACTACATGAGAGCGAGAAGTTTACACTTGCAGCCTAGATGAAGTAATTCAAGAAGTGACAGTTAATGTTGCAGTTTTTGATGAAAAAGAACGATACTCATTTACATTGCATGAGCTATTATTCTGCTAGAAACGATAGATAAAAAATCTAATATAAAAAGTTTTTGGTTTTGGGCTTTTTGTTCTCGGTTAGAATTGTAGTGACAGTTGCAAACAGAAAAATTCAACAAGTAACTGAAAGATCAATTCTTTGGGGAATTTCCTTTCTCGAAGTGATAGTTAAACATATCATACTGATGTATACGGTTGCCGCATAATACTTTTTTGAATGTGAATATTTTCAGTCACGTTCTTCTTCCTGACACTTGGAGGAGACATGGGATTAGTAGCAGGTCTGTAAAAAAGGAAAAAAGAAAGAAAAAAATATTCATGTTCCTTCCGATGTATGTTTAATTAAGACATTGGCTGTAGCAATCCTGGACATCTTTGAATGACATGTGCATTCCTAGAGGATCATCTACTGGAAATTAACAATTTTAAGATCTGGTTCATGTAGTTGGATTTCATGCCCTGTTCTTTTTCTGTTGTTGTGAGAGCTTCCCTTGTCAATTTGATGCATGTAGTTGAATTGTCGTACATTATGATTTCTAACTATACACAAATCATATATGTATACTTATTAATTGTTGATAATACAGATCTCTTTCTCACACCAATGAGAAATGTATCGCATTATGTCTCACGATCTTGTTTCTGTGGCACAACCGAGTAAATAATAATAACAAGGAGAACTGACATGGTAGTTTCAAAAGGAGCTGCATATTTGTCGTGTAATTAAGCATTTTTTTATTGGGAACTAAATTGATGGGGATTTGTGTTTGAGTGCATGCAGAGTTATCCCCCGCTCACAGGTCCGACGTGTTTGACCTAATGTCATGAAGCACTTCATTAGTAGGGCACATGACTCAGGTGGGTTCCACCCACTTGGTGAGTCACAGACCATCTTGACTCGAATAAGTGAGAGTCACACCGTATGATAATGACCTGCTAATGTAGTTTAAGGGTCGACCATAGGAATGTGACCTTTTTATATTTCAACACAGAAATTTCATAGGTATTTTTTTTCTCTTAACAACATTCCAACAACATTGGATTCTTCAAAGTACTTACGAGCATTATTTGCCATCAGTTTCTTCTTCCGAATCTGCTGATGGTAACGAGTAACTCCCACCCAACACTTGTGGCCGTCCACGCCCATCTATCCCTCAATAAAGACGCTGCAAAAAGCATATGAACTCGACAAAACCCAATAACTGCTGCTATCATTACATCACGGAACATTGCAAAAACATGACAAACTTTCAGGTGGACCTCATCCAGGATTGATCCACACGAACCTGATGATTTGATACAAGACCACACACACAACAGCGAACCAATAAACACATTATTTATTTCACAATATTCCACACACATCTATCAAGACATATCCAAGCTTTTATATATATATACATATATATACATATACATACATATACAGCCCACGATTCCAAACCAGAAAACCTCGTTGCTGGGCCATCAATGACCTCAGTTGCAAATTAGAAGATCAGGAGTTTTGTAGTTCATGATCTGACTTGCACAGAAGGATTACCTTTTTAAACAAAAGAAACCTATATTTACACTAAAACAAAAGAACCACACACTTGAGAGTCAGAATTTCTCAAGAACATTTTGCAATGATCCAACTGTATTATATAAGTACGTAAGAGAGCGTCTTATGCACATATCACTTTCATTCTCTTATTCAAACAAGCACCACAATGTGAATGCCAGGCATGTACCTGAGAGAATATCAGATCAAACGAGTTAGCTCTGCGCACACTCAAAAGGATGCAAGGTTCCTTCAGCAAATTCATGCATCCTAATGCGCTCCAAAAATTCGTAAGGCCTGTAAAAGAAACAAGACATGATACAGGCAACACATAAGCTCAGTTTAGTCATAGATCACAATGTGCAACTAATAAAATGAATGTATCTTGTGAAGTAAAAAAGGAGATACACAAATTGGCAAAAAATGTTCTTGGCAAAAAATGAATTTATTTTTCCATCTGATTAGCTTGTTACTTGACATGTTTGATTAGCCAATTTGCCAAGTTCAAAAGCAACTGAATTGACATTAAATCGGAAATCAAAAATAGCAAAAAAATTATAAAAAAAAGAAGATAAAAAATAAACCAATATTAACCAAGTACAAAAATCAAAACATATAGCTTATATTACAGATGTATTATCCAGTATAATGGCATCATACCAATTAGATGAGTTAGTGAACCGGCACTGAACAGAGATCCAAACCCTTGTTGCCATTACTCATTGATGCTTAATACAAGGACTTGAATCTCGATCATATCAGTTATGATAATCAATCATACCCAGTTCCCGAGCAGCATATCTATCCATGCGTTTCAGTATCACCTTTATATAATCAATAAATTAGAAAAATCCAAAACAACTGCTGAAATCTTAAGCCACTAGTAAAGACTTCAATAATTTAACTTCCCCATGCTCAACAATGTAGACTATTTGTTCATGTGTCAGACTACTGCATCATGCATGTCAAAGAAAAGATCCACCAGAGAAATGCCAAGACATGTTTCTAGTCATAATACACAGACATGCTCAACACAACTTGGACCTTCTTATCTACAAATACCCAGAATCAAGGCCTACAATGGGTGCAAATTTATGGAGGACATCAGCTAACAGACATAGGTAACATAATGTCCCAAGTGCACTGAATGTGTCAATATCTACAAACTAAAATAAAGATAAGAATTAAAAGAGACACAATCTTCAATAGGAAAAAAAAAACCCAGCAAACCAGATTGACAAATTATAAGAAAAAAATATCTATTCTGTTAAGAATCAGAATACACCAGCCTCTATTAGCTTGCACAATAGGACATTGAGAATACAAACACGTAAAGACCTAAGAATTATGCCTAATTCGTGGATGGAAATATGCAACCCAGATCATGCCAACCACTATGTTAGCTTGTATCTTAAGACATGGAACAATTTGGATCACTTTGTAGATTCATTACCCTACATCAAATATGTTACCATATCTATGATAAATAATTGTGAAAGTTGCTGGACTGAGAAAATACTCAACTAGGAGCCTTGAACATGAAAACAAAATGGTAATTTTTAATGCAGAAGAGAAGCAATAAAAATGCCTGACACTTTCACATATCACTTTCAAACCAAAACAAAATAATAAAATAACGTACTCTGTTTCTGGTGACATCTAAAATTGGCTTTCTTAGGCTGGGTAACACAAGATGATAATGATATCAATTATAAATAACAAGTCATCTCTCAATCATGAATTGGGAACTCTATAGATCTCAGTATTCATTATAGCCACCTAGAAAATCACATCCTAAACAAAAAAGTCAAAAGATTTATAGCATATATATCTTACATCAAAAGATAAAGAAAAAAAAATCAAAAGCATTATGTTAATAATTGACACAACAAGGATCTTACAGGACAAGTTCACGATTACGGCATAATTTTCGTTGATTGATTTCTATAGCACCCCAGACATCTGCAGTCTCTGGTCCTGCTATTCCTCCTGCAACCATTGAAGGAACTTGCGCATGTGGTGTCCACATCTGTGAACAACTGCTGTTAGCAGCCAGTTATAAACCCAAAAGTATCCATTGTGAACTGCAGAATCCATTAATCTTACTTTGATTGTGTTATCAATACCACTTGTCGCAACAGCACAATCAAATGGATGGCACTGTATGCAGTTAACAACTAGAAAACGTACATAAACAGAAAGTTAAAAGATGTTAACCACAAAAACTAGATAAAGTTCAAAAAAGATGAAACAGAACACACAACACAAAATACACCCAGAGAATAAAAAGGGTTGAAACTTTTACCAGACTCATCTCCAGCAAGCATTTTAACCAGTCTTCCTGATCTTTTTTCCCAAATAAACCACCTTCCATCATCACTTCCACTAGCAACAAAAGCTCCTGCGAAAATGAAATGCATTTATGTTGCAAAAACGTTCCACTAAGTTAAGATAAATCGGTGCTAACTTTCAAAATAACATAATTAACACAGACCATAGCTGTGCACTCAAAAGGCAACTAGACTCCTCCCATACCACCAAGGGAACATTGATACTACGATGTTCCCCGTTTCCACTCTGTCACTCTATCAGACTCATTTTCCCTTTTTTTTCTTTCCAGCTACCTATATCACATGGTGGTATGCCATGGCAGCCACTAGCCAGAACAAGGTTGCATCGTCATAAGCAATCACATGCTGCTAGCGGTTTATGAGTTGTATCTATAAAATGACACTTTACTGAGAGGCCAAAGATACACAATCAACAAAATTGCTTATTAACTCTGATATACTATAGTCATTTATAGTGTAAATCAAAGATTTCAGATACCAGCCATGCTGGCATATGATTAGAGAAGTATGCGACCCAACAGCATGCCAAAACAACACTGGGCTGGCACAATGCACATGACTACGGAACAATCTCATGCTGAGAATATGCCATGACAAATGAAAACGTTGCTTAAAATTAGCAATAGAATTTTTCACCAGACATGATAGATTTATGCTAATGATACCCAACAAACTTTTATGCCAGTTATCAGTGACCTAATCCCACTGGCATATACACATGATAGATATATTGATTCTTGAGTACACCACAATTAAGCAACGAGGGTTACTTCCTTGCAGTGACCTCTGAGGACTGGCATTCTTACTGCATCATCAGAACTATTTACTAAATTGCTGAAGTGCCAACTGGCAAGGCCACACCTAATAGATACGAAGATATTATAACTTTTTTTATAAATTATTTTACCATTATAGTAATTCACTTGACATATATTCACAATTGTTAAAAAATTTAAGTGTCTTGCTAAGTGCACCTTGTTGGCCAAGAAAGCTAGCTTGCTTTATATCTGTCCCCACATTGCAGTGACCAATATATCTTCTTTTCATATCAATTGCAACTTCAGGCTGCAAAATATGGAACAACCAGATAGTAATTGTAATCATAACAGGGATAACTTTCAAAAGAAAATTAGCAGCAATATACAAAAATCACAAGTCTCCACTGATACAAGTTATATTAGACCACTGTGATTGCAATCAGTGAGATGCCAATATAAAAACCGTTCATAAGTGACATACAGTCAAATACCAAAAGCAATATTTAAAAGGAACAGAGTACTGCTGATAGATACCATCAATTAAAGTAAAACTTCCATAGGGACTACAAATGAAAAGTATTTTTGAATTGAATAGATTTTTCCTTGTTACATTTATTATGTGTGTTAGGCTAGTGGGAATAGAAGTAAAAAAGTTCAGACCTCGTAATGAAAGACAATCCAAAATATCAAATCATTATAGCAACAAAGACTACTGGTTACCAGAAAATAGCTGGCATTTCAAATTTCTAAAAGAAAAACCTGAAGAGTATGGTAGTAATTTTGAGAGGATGATGAAGGTGATCCTTCTGCACCATCAATACTGCTACTTTCTCTTGCTGAGTCATCTCTTCGATGAAATCTCAAGTTCAAACTGCCTCGAAGGATGCTTGATTCAGTATCACGGCCCTCATCACCTGATATTGATGTCTCAAAGTCCAGCTCCATCTCTTCCTCATAATCAGAGTCTTCTCTTTCATAACGAGATTCTGAATATGGGCTATTCAGCTCTGCTCGAAAGAGCACGTCACTTAAAGATCTTAACTTTCCATGACGTGTTTCACTTCGAACAGTGTCCTCATTATCTTTTTTTACTCTCTCTGCTTCAGCTGCATCAACAAAATGCAAAAGGTAATATAAAAATAAGGTTTCATGAGAGTTACTGCATCTGTACCACATACAAATTAGAGTAATTCATAAAGCCCTCGGAAGAAGCTAAAGCAATTAGCAACAGACTGTGCATGAATACTAGCACTTGAGTGCATATAATTTAACAGGCAGAAAAGAGAATGCAATCTGATGTTAAATAAGAAAAACTTATAGTTGCAATGGAAAAATGTAGTAGACCAAACGTAACACCTACTTCTGCACAGAAACAACCATAAAAAATAAATCATCTGTTGAACACAATAATTAATATTAATAAAAAATGTTCCCTCATGGATAGACACAATAATAGAATGGACTATATAAAATAAAGCACCAATAACATCTTAAGAAAATAGAAATGGTAAAGCTACATGCAGGATTGGCTGTAACAATCAGAAACTTATTTTGTGACAGAAAACGTATTTAAATAATGGATGAGACTCATAGTAACTATAGTTGTATAGTTCATAATATAAGTTGATCAAGTTAATCCAGATCTAAATCCATATATGATTTGATCAGCTGTGTCAAACTGAAGCATTGGTCAAATAATGGTTCATAAACAATCTAGTCACACATCATAAATCCAACTAGGTAGTATGAACCAATTTGATCATGTATCACTATTTACATATACTTTGTCAAATCAGTCCCAACCAATTTGATCATACATCACAATCATTTACATGTACTTTGTCAAATTAGTCTGAACCAATTTGATCATGTATCACAATCATTTACATGTACTTTGTCAAATCACAATTAGCACAATTTTATGAGCTGCATGTGCTGATATCCACAAATCCAGCTCCAGTTGTACACCAATTTTGTAATCTTAGGGAAGAAGCAAGAAAAATAACATACATAGCAGTCTAGCATAAAGAATTATAACTCAAGGACACAATTTTAAATCTTTTTTTCTGAATGATCAATAGAAATAGTTTTTAAACAGAATAACTAGCATGAACTCAACACATTCCCAAATGCAAGCACATACAGTTCGCTATCATATTTATCTAGTGGCAAAGGGCAGAAATATACCTCTCATTAGGACTTTGCAAATATTGTTGTTAAACCATGAAAGTCTACAAGACAAAATTTAATACAGGAGCAAGTTCCACAGAAAGTAGCCCATTGCAAGCATCACTTTTATGCTCACTACCAAATTATGGAAGTCATCAAGATTAAATCTACAAGTTCCTCGGTAACTAACCTGCCACAAGATGACCTTTTATGGTTGCCACCATCTCTTCTTCACAGGTTGATGAAGCAAGATTACCTGCCACCTCTGCAAACTCTAAAGCTTCATTTAGCTTTCCTAACTGCAACCAATTTGTGCATGACATATAAGAGTTGTATTTATAAATAATCCTTCCTAAAAAGACTCAAAACATGATTTGGCAGAAAACCTGAAGAAGTGCTTCTGACATGTAATAGTGTGCCTTAAAGGATGAAGCATTTATTTTCCGAGCACTGTTGCAGTCCCTCATTGCCATGTAAACGTCATTTTTCCACTTCCTCTGAAAACAATATTGCAAGTTTGGTACAGATTTGATGAAATTGGGTGTTCTGTAAACAATAGTGAGTTTCAGGTGAACCTTCAGAAGCAATGCTGCCCGAATACACAAGCACTCATGCCTTACTGAGTGACCAACCTCAGGACCTTTTCCATCTATCACTTCATTACATGCCTCAATACCATAATAAATATTTGAGCCCTCCTCCAGAATTCTAGCAGCGGCTTGAACCAAATTCCTGTATACGTCAAGCTGCAATCGGCTATGTAGTCAGACTTTGTACAGTTCACACATAGTTTCAATAATTAATAGATTATTATAATCAGGGTTTTAAATACCAATCTGATATTGGTTTCAAGAACCTATATGACCAGAATCCGACTGGGTTTGTTACCAAGACACCGAGCAATACCAAACTGTATGGCCCATTTACCAGTGCTTGGTCGGATCGGTAAGTGGCTGTTTGTACATACCAATCTAACTGGTATTTTTCACCCTGTTTTCATGTAATACTAAATGCACATTCCTTACTCGGTGCATCAATTGGTAGGAAGAGGGCACTGCTGGTGGTAATGGCAGCTTTGATTCTCCAGATATACGAGCTAAACAAAAATGTTTTGGAACATCAGCAGCAGTATATCTCATGATGCTCTTGTCATCTGAAATTTAAAAACAAAATGTATATTATGCACAGCTGCAGTAAAGAAAGAAAAGAAAATTTGTATTTGGAAAGGTAAATCATTCTAATAGACAACTTCCTTTAGAAGTGGTACACAAAATCACAGTTTTTCACCAGGTTAATACTGTTTTTTAGATGTTAATTTCAAATTTATCTTACTGGGTGAACAAGTGTGACCTTAGTTCATTTTTTTATGAAAATATGTGAAAGAAGTGGCGAGGGCCTAGGGAATATTCCCTTCCTATTCTCCTTCCAACTAGGTGAGGACTTTCTACACTACTTCGTATTCTGAAGCATGAGAGAGCACCTTGAAGTAAATGATAGTAGGCTTGATTGCTCTCTTATCATATTATCAAATATTTCTTATATTTGGCTGCTTCTAGTAGCCACACCACAGGCCTACATCATTCTTCTGGTTTAAGCGTATGTTCTTTACTTCTTTTGCAAGAGCAAAATTTGTGACTTTGTGCCTCTACCAACCATGCTGTGACTGGAGACAGCAACTGCCCCAGAAGTCAGGTCCACAGGAGCTCCACCTTTACCATGAATCATGGGCAGATACATGAGATGAGCAAAACTTGTTTCACTGTAATGATGGTGAAAACAAAAAAGGCCTCTCTCTAATTCAAATTGTTTTGTAGGTCCTTGCTCTAAACAAGTAAATTTTAATACTGACATCACCTATTTATGAAAGTTAATTATTGAAAAAAATGCCATTTTTTAACAAAATTATTTTTCTCATTGATTCAATATTTATTTTCTTAATAAGATCAAAGGATTGAAATTTCGTACTATACCGGTGTATCGAGCTTTGCCCAGTACGATACGGTATGGGAGTACCAAGCGATACACAAGGACGTATTGAATGGTACATCTAAATATAAATAAAAATATATAATATAAAAAATATATAAAATATATTTTTATATATAAATATAAAACAAATCTAAAAAGGAAGCGTTCGCTGCCTCGACGACGCCGCCGCCTCCTCTTCTCCTCGTCGCCTTAGACGAGGAGAAGAATGCGGTCTCCTTCATCTCCTCATTTGCGGCATTTGGCGAAGAAGGCGACAAAGACATTGAAGGCCTTCGACGAAGAACGCATCGAAGAAGTCGTAGAATTGCAAGCAAGGCGACGAAGGAGACCGCCTCTTCCGCTACTCTAACCGTCGTGCTGGCCATTACCTCCTGGATTGGGATCATCGAGGGAGGGCAGCGTCGAATCGGGACGCGTCGAAGTTCTCCTAATTCTCCCTCTTCTTCGAACACTCTCTCTTTTTTCTTCCTTCTCCCTCGACTCTTCTTCTTTCCTCGTCGCAGCCAGGTTGATATCGCCCGGTAGTGGGTGGTCACGATTGAAATCGATTGTTACTGACCTATTTCCGATGGTAACGGTCAAAATTTCGACAATTACTGCTCGATATAGCTTTATATCGTCCGATACGGGGCTATATCAAGCGTTCCACCGGATAGTGGGCGATACGCGTACCATTCTGCCGGCGGACCGATACGTACCCCTCAAACCATTCGAAATTTAGAACCTTGATAAGATCATCGACAACAACAATAAACCAAACTATACAATTAACCCTTGCAAATGTTGTGGACTACACGAAAATTATAGTCAATACATGGACAATCAAATGGATTATTATAAGTCAGAACAAGAAATTCTTGTTTACAACAATAAAATAATACGAAAGAATAAAAGTCAATTATCAAGCTAAGAGAAAATATTTAACGTTCTTTATAAAGCTATTCAAATCTTCACAGATTCAATCCCAGCATATCCAAAGATGTCTGAATCAATGCTTCAAGATGTCCACCTTCACATTGAGATACACGGTTTCGTTATACGGAATAGTTTTCACTTAATTAAGAAGTCCCACATAATTGATTTAAATGAAAAACACTACTTGAGCATCCTTCATTAGCTCATAACCAACCAACAATAGGTAGTATGTGCTAATTCACACTGTATGCACGTGCAAGATTGGTGGACAAGCCCAATAGCAGATTGGTGCCTGAACTGTCAACTAACTGCTGAATTCTCTCTAGCCAAATCTTGCTTGCACACAGCCTTAATGGGAGAGTAATAGTGTCATATCTTGAAAAAAAGCTAGCCGAAGGTTTAGAGGTACCTAGCTTGATCATATTATTTCACATATCCTAATCATCACAGAATGCGATTAAGTAGTTCTATGACCGAAAACAGCACACAACTAAACACGAGCTCGAAAAGTTCATGCAATATGAGTAATAAGCATCTTCTGTGTTACCACTTGCTGTTGTCAAGTCGACAACTTTCTTCTGCCTGGCTTATATCGAGTTAGAATGCAGTTACATTTTCGTCCCTTTGGCACATCAAAGCACAATTGTAAATGGTGTGCAACTTGATGCACTGACAAGTAGCATTTTGGCCACCAAACACTACATGTGTTGCTGGAAATCAAATCTTCCCTCATCTTTGAAATTTTGTAAAAGGGTAAGACAAGGCATTCATCTGGAAATTTTGTAAACAAGTCAGACAACGCATTCATCTTTACTACATTAGTTCTCATCTTTACTACATTAACAAATTCCACTCTGGTGTTACTCTTCTTACTTATAAACACCATTATTTTCTTTGGCATATCTAACTCAAACTACATTTTTGGATCAGAATCATCTCATTTGTTCATTTCTATTGCAAAGATTTAGCCGTTACATCTTGATTGAATCCTTGACCTCACAAAAATTTCACAAATTCCCTCACAAATTTCCGTAGTAACAGAAAATGATTTGCAAGGCTAGTATGATAGATTTTTTTTTTATTTAACCATATATTAATACAACCTATAAAATGCTTCAAATAAAAAGAAGAGTAGCTCTCTCAATTATTCTAAGCATGCATCAAGCAATCCATAAAAAGAAAGAAAAAAATACTGATAAGAAATATGGGATGCAAATGTGTTATCCACGTTTGTAACATATCATATGAACTTAAGAATGCATCGAAAGCACAAGGCATGCAAAGAAAAGAACACTCTACTTAGTTCACCACCACAACAATGGTGTGAGAACGGATTGAAACATCTGGATGATTCCTGCCATGGATGGTGCTCAACATCATCCAAACTTCAAATGTCATAACAACCAATTTCAGGCACAACATGTAGTTTAGTAATGAAAATGATGGAATAAAATGTATATATCTAGTATATCATTCACTGAGCATGATCCCAATTACCTGAGTTCAATCCAACACAAAACTTAAAACATCATGGAAATTCACAGCATAATAAATTTAGATTAAGCAATACAGTCACAGCAGGAAGTGTAAATAGTAAAAGATCAATCAACATAATATAATTGCATAATACCTAATAATACATAATATGTATGCATATTTATACATACTTGAATATACACATTCAGATTCATATATGAAAGGAAGCGTACCACAATTAACATCCATTAGATAAACATGCTCCCCGCTGTAACTCAGGAGCACCTCCTCTCCATTTGGACTAAATGTTACATGTGTTAGATGCAAGCTTGACCTTCTCTGCACCGAAATAATACACAATTTTAATGTGGGTCTAAAAGAATTAAAAGAGTAAGTCTTTTAAGCATCACTTTTTCTCTGGATGGGATCATTTTCCAGAGCATCAAAAATGGAAGAAATAATAGAACATGCTCATAAGAGAATATGAAGTGTCTTTATTTATTAGCAAAAAAAAAACATGATGTAGTAAATACATTCTATGCTATTCAGTCCATTATGTAAAAAAAAGTATACTCTATGTTTACGGGGGTCGTAAGAAACTGACCAAGGATCACAAGAACATGATAGATGTGACCCGAAATTATAGCCAACTAAGGAAAAAATGAGAAATGAAACTTCATCCTCATAATGCAACTTCTGGTCATCTAACCTGTTAGAATATCCTGCAAAAACATTATTTGATTTCCATATTGTGAAGGAACATTACATGATCCATGTAACAGACCCAACAGTTGAAGGTATCTGCACGGTGACTGTGAAATAGATGGTTCCTTGACAAGGAACTCTGACAGTACATTTACTCCTCAACCCTTTAATGCCAGGTTCCTTTATGTGAGAGGGATATCTTATTTAACAGACTCTAAAACAACCAGTTACAACAAAATCCCACACAATATTTTCGCATCTCAGTCAATCACTTTATGCAGCTATCCTTCTTAAGGAACATGCTATAGATATATTGCAGATTCCATTACTGCAATGGAACACATAATAAACTCTAGCTATACATGAGGAGGTCAAAGCAAAAGCAAAGGCGAAACAATAACTTTATCAGCCTTGCTCACCTCCACATTAGGAATGACCACAATATGGTCCGACCTGACATGCCCAAAGTTTGGATGATTATCTTTCCCTCATTGGCTAGCCAAGAAAATGGGGAATAACCACAATCATGTTTGTGACACATGGCCAGTCATGTCCAAGGCTGAGCCTCCCATGTGAGAAGCCTCAGTCCATGTCAATACTCCTCGAGAGCTGACAAATGTGGGCACTTGCATGGGAATTTCACTCCCACATGGACTAGAGAGGGGATACCAGCCTAGACCATTAGGAATGATCAAATTTCAGTGCACAATAGCTTTCCCAATTGGAATAGTGGAGGAACTCTTTCCAAAAGCTCTCCTAGTCGAATTACAAAAGGAGAAGGCCAACCAAGCCTTCTCACCAACTTTTTGTGGGAGCAGTTTTTGTTTTTCTAATGTTTTTCATCACTTACAAGTTGATGCTTCAATCTCTAGATACTTTTCTAAGTTCAATTGTTAAGTCATGAACTTATTTTGCTATTAGGAAATATCAAGGTATGTCGTACCATAACATACCGTTCGGTATGGGAAGTACATATCGGTCAAATAGGGGATCAATATGGGTGGCACATATCGACTTGTCAGTATGCTCCACAATACCATGTGTTGCTACATCAGTACGTACCATACCGATAGCTGGTCGGTACACCGGTATGGACCGATAAAACGAACCATGGGATATATATTATGGAATGTCGCCATTAAGGGATATGAGTTGAGCCATTACTCTCTTTATTGCTTTTATGAAGTCATTAGTTTAGCTCTCTCTCTAGTTGCAATATTGAAGGTATTTCTTGAGAAGTTCTGTTTAGGAGCATATCCAATATAAAATCTAAAGTGAATTTTTCATTTTTAAGTTTTTGCATATCCTTGCAGAACTACCCTTAGCGAGGATGTAGAAGCGCAAACACCAGCTAGCGTTACAATATATACCACCTAAGTAGAGAAAAAAATCTTCAAAAATCATATTTTCTTCCCTTTTCCTTTTGAAATTCATTATTCTACATAATCCTACCTAAAAAGACTAGAATTCTATAAGCACAAATCCCCAATAGCTAAACAAGTATCCTAAACCATACTATACTATGTTAGGACTCTATAAATACAAGAAACTAGAAGATTAACTTGATACAACACTAACTGTTCTCAATCCTGAATTGATTAACTAGACACTAGACAAATTGAATCAGACAGCATAAAAAAACCACAACGTTGCTTTGCCAATTGCTTCATCCAAATCAATAAATGTCATGTCTAAGTTCATCCCATTCACCTAAGCTCCAGTTTTATGCCCTAGAAATCAGTAATCAGGTTTATGACCATGACAAGATATTCATGTGGGCTTTAACCTGGTTATTTTACTATCGCAGCTTCATCATGTGGTGTGACATGAATGGTTGAAAATCAGAAGACTATTTAGACAAGTCGTGAAGCTTCATGATGATGGAAGGACTCAAAAGGTTGACAATTTGGAGACTTCCTATAGAACAATGGCAAATGATTATACTAAATTCTGCTTATTATGTAAATCTTTATTTTAAATGCAATTGCGGGAATAATATTGATCAGTATGAGGATAAGTGATTATTAAATGTGGATTGCAATCTCTGAGGTGCAAATAAAATAATCTAATAGACCAAAAGTTCCTGGACAAACCAAGTTCAAATTCTAGCAAGCAAACATGTCTCAAATAAAAGTGTCTAGCAAAGTTCTGAACGTACATGCTCAGAGAGGTGTACAGGGCAGAAATAATTAACACAAGGAGGTGACTTCATTCTCATTTGAGCAGAGCTCAGCGGCGGAAGCATCCTTCGATCGTACAACCGAGCAAATGCGTCACTATATGAGCATTCAAAGAAAGATATGTTAGAAAATAACATTAAAGGACAAAACTCAAAAGGGCATGTAAAATTTCAGCAAAGACTACCTGCCACCCACAAGGAGCTGATGAGGACGGGTGGGACTAATGTCACAGGACTTCAATACCAAACAATATTTAGGTGGATCAGCTAATGATTTTTTTGCTCCACGGCGCAGATCAAGCTGTCACAACATGGAAGAAGGAAAAACTTATGTATATGATTTTGATCAGATCATGCACACTCACATTTATGCCAAAAAAATAGAACTACAGTTGTCTTAAATAGTGGCAGATCCACACAAATCAGATTCTCCTTCAAAGCCATGCACTTCCATATCGTGGAAGCCTAAATATGTAAAAATTTAAGAACACTGATGTTTGGAATAACGATCTCATCTATGACGAACTGCATAGTGCATCCCATAAGTGAAGGAATATGACACCGCTCCATTAATGAATCTTCAAAGACAGGTTTAGAACTATTTTGCTTTCCTTATATTTTGATAATTGCAAATAAAATCAGGAAATGTTATTTATACTTACTACTGAATTCTCTCTCTTGAAATACAAGTGCTTTGTGTCTGATTAAAGATACAAGTGATGATTGCAATATTTATAGAAACAACGCATACATACGTGTGTCTGTTCATGCATATATACGTATAAAGAAATCTAGTGTCTACAATTCATTCATTAATCTCTAAGAGACCAAAACTGAGAATATCTTTCAGCCATGATTTCCAATAAGTTCTATCGGTTGTCTCATAAGAAGACCTTCACCTACAGATATAAAATACTTTTGGCATGCTTGGGAGATACCAACTGAACTATCTATCACTGACACAATATGTACCAATAATTTAATCCACAACACGGTAACACCTTGATTCCCGAACCATGCATGTACCAAACTATCATACATGATATTTCTCATATCCTTTGTTTATTTTGCTTGAGAGCAGGGGGGAGGAGCTAAAATGAGTGATCATAGATTTTCCATGACAAAATAGACTAACTTAAATAAACAATAACCACAAGCAATAATATACTTAATTAACTACTTACCAGAACACTACGGCATTCCTGATTTGACGATTCAGCAGAAGGGCAAGAAGAAACTTCACGTAAGTCATGTTGTCTCAAGGTTCCATCCTCACTAGCACTCCATATGACATTAGGATTTCCAGCTTCAACCTAAATATTGTAAGGTAAGAATACAACATAACTCCCATTATCATAAATCCAGATTACTGTGATGACAAAAACTCTCCCAAAAATTCAGAGAAAAAGAACAAATGTGAAAAAAAAAAAAAAGTGAACCATCATGATAACTCAACTCATGACGTCCTAAAAATATTGTTATAAATTGTAAAAGGAAGGAAAAAGATGATAAGAAATCATACTTAATCTCTTCAAGAATCTGTCCTAAAACGTGTGTTCATGAACACTACCGTACACAGAACTAATTATTAATTTGAAATCCAGACTACTAATTTATGAATATTTTTATAGAAATTCTATAGTTTTTTGAGATCAAATCTTACAGCTAGCTTCTTCACCCTCCTGGAGTGGCACTTGTAAGTTGCTACTGGTTCTATAGCAACTTCTTCAGATCTTTTCCTGCTTAAATGAGACAAACTAAAAAGTCGAACCTGGAAGAAGATAATTAGTATTGGTCTTTGATATCAGCCTAAAATAACATGCATCGTCATTAAAACAAAAACGATATTAAAAACAAATTCTAATCCAAGTAGTACCTCTGCGTCTCCTGCTCCTGATACAATTAGTTCATCGGATGTTTCCGGAACAAACTTTGTGCAAAATATGTTTGCAGAGTGACCAGTTTCAATACTATTCAAGAGCCCCCTGTCACTGTAACTCCATATATTAATCTGCAGCAATGAATGCAAAGTGATAATTATAAAATCAGATGGACTTTTTCCTATCTAGATAAATCATGAAAGTAGTCTAAGGGACCAAGAAATAGTGTTCATTCACTTCCATTTACTAGTAGCCTACTCGTAATGCAAATCAAATATTTATGTATTGTCAAAACCATTCTAGATTCACTGTATGAAGCTATATCAATTATGCTGGATATGGATTAAAATGTCATGTATGGTGCTGCCAAAACAAGTAATGACATAATGCAGAACGGTCTTCTACTTCCCATATAAGACAGCTTTTAATTTCGTACCATACCGGCATACCGAGCTTTGCTCGGTATGGTACGGTATGGCGTACCGAGCAGTACGCCTTGGCATACCGCTCAGTATATGTATTTATATATATATATATATATATATATATATATGTTTATATACGTATGTTTACTCATAAACATATGTATTTTTATATACATATGTTTTTGAGTAATAATTACTATAAAATTTGTTTATAAAAATATCCTCTTTCCATCTCGAGAAACGAAAAGGGGGTGATGGCGAAGCGGGCAAGGATGTGACGCGTTGCCTCTATCCCCAACTCGAACTAATGCTCCCGCGACAATTAGATCCAGCGGGGATCCAACCTGGGGCAAGCTCATCCCCAGCTCCCCCGCCGCTGCTGCTCTCAGCGACTGTGAGGAAGAAGACCAAGATGACGACGAGAGCGATAAGAGGAAGCAACAGTCCTACCTGGGCCAGGATCCCTTCCTTCGTCGTAGACCGCGACCTCCCCGACCACAAAGACCACGATCCCTCCGCCCCCTACCGTGTTTCGCTCAACGAAGTGAGGACCCGCCCCCTACAGCGTTCCTCCCCACGGAGCGCTTCTTCATGTCCCGCCATGTCCAACTCTCTTCTCCGTCATGCCTTCTCCATCCAACGAGCGCCGCAGTCTCGTCTTCTTCATTGTCATGCTCCTCGTTCTGTCCGCCAACTGATCGCTCAGTAGCGGGCAGTTCACGTACCAATCAGCTGACGGATCGATGCGTACCGCCCAGTATGGGCGATACAATTCGAAATTTAAAACCTTGATAAGACATGTCAAAACATGTCATAATATGAAAAAGTGCGGCATGCATGATATGCACCAATACGTTACGTACTTTCACTTTCCTATACAAGGTTACCTTGTACTTTGAGCAACCTACACGAATGAAATCTTAATCCTCATAAAACAAACACTAGTTGGTTCTTGTGAATCTGTCACATGGCTAACTCTGCAGGTTCACAAATTCCTGGGAGTAAGCTAATTAAAATAAAACCTGGCATCAAGAAAAATTTGCAGTAAGTAGGTTTACTCCAACTCCAAGATAGTTAAAAAAATCACCATCAAACTAAATATTAGTCCTCAACGGGCTAGCATACCGCCACCTCCATGATTTATGAACTTGTAATATTTACTGCACAGTCTGGTTTATTAAGGCATCAAAAGGGAGAAATACCATGAAGTATGTAAAGAATCACTCAAAAAGAAAGAACTACCAAAAAATGTATAGGTGCTACATATAGTATTAGGGTTTCAACAGAGACAAAATTAATAGCCTTCTGCTACAGATAATAATCCAAACTGAAGCATCTAAGCAACTACCAACTGAAATTGACTGACCTCAGGAACAAATACAAGATTTCTAATTTGGATAGTAATACTTAGTTGAGTGCCATATAGACATATATAAATTTCACATATCAAATACTGTCACTAATAAAACCTCCTACCAAGGTAGCAACAAACTTCAGAAATGGTAAATGCTCATATTGATAGTTTGGTGTCATTTAAATTTAAGAAAAATATTATCTAAAGTTGGTTTGATTCTAAACCCCATGCAAGACGCAACATGTGCGATTTAATCCATGTACCAACTGACCCTTTATCTGATTTGATACAGCACAAGAATCATTCCTTCAAACACTTGTGGCCCACTTGCACACCAGCCCAACAGGATTAAACTCAGTGGCCCTGGTTCGGAGTAATAAAATGCAAAGTAAATAATGGAGTCCTAAAATTTAAAGAAAAAAAGAAAAATAGCATCATGTCTGAACACTATTAGTAACCATTTTTTAATGGAATAATTAACATAATTATCAACAAGTTCAAGGTTTTCTAAGTTAGATAAACTAGAATTGCAATGAAGAGCAAATTGTCCAAAATCTGATTTAACTATTTTAATATGACAACTGCCAAATTATTAACAAAAATGTTATATATGTAGTCCATGTAAGTTGATCGCTATTTGCATAAATGAGTAAGTATGTGCAACTTCATATGGATATGATGGTTCAAGATAAACATCCAAGTGACAGTAAGTTTAGATAACCATACTCTAGTATCATCAGATCCAGATATTAAAAGTGAGCCCTTTGAGTTCCATGCAATGGCATTAACACAACCCTGATGGCCCTGTTGAAAAAACCATGACTGAGATATTAGACAAACATGAAGCTTCATATAGACAAGCACGAAGCTTGCTCAAAGATGACAAAAGACGAATGAATGATCATTAAAACATGTCCAACCATATGGACAACCAAAGATTAAATTTATCTCTTAAACTTCAATTGTATGCATCAAATATCTTAGAAACCCAAAAGGCTGAGAAGATACAGGAATCACAACTCGAGACATACTAAGATTCATATGCACAAAAGCAACTTCTTTTATCCGTAAAAAGGTCTTTTTTTTTACTATTATCTTTAACATAAAGGTACCAAAGAAGGACATAGTCTGCTACATTTCTTCTGTCTTCCTTTTCCTTGGTTTTTCTTTGTCTGCAAAGCATGGCACAGTATTATTGAGGATCCTGAGATTATGCATTGGAAAAAAGTACCTAAATCAGCACCAGAATTTTTCTCAAGGACCATATGGTACATCAGGGTTAAAGAGGAAATTACAGCTTGAACCAAAGATTAAAGCTACTAATGTCTGACCATATGGTCATTACAGCTGCTTTAATGGCTTGGGAAGAGATGTATCATGATCCAGAAGCTTACTTGTGTAGGTTTTGCATGAATCTGTATAATAAAAACTACAACCAAGCACCCAAATTTAGTGCATTGAGTCTACTGACACACAATCAATATAAAAAACCAAACAGATCTCAAGACAATAAGAGTCATGAGCCCTCAAAACCTTGGCCCAAATTTTTTGAATAGATATTTAGTCTACCTCAAGTAAGGTATCTGTTTTTCCCCCATGGTTAAAGAGGGTGAAGTTAAAGAGAGGAGAAACAAGAGAGGAAAAAAAGCATATAGTCTTAGATCAAAAACAAGACAAAGAAATAATGCCTTAAGCCAGTAGCCTTACAAGTGCTGCCAATAAAAGATAACAGACTTGAATAAATGAGGTAAACTTATGAAAGCCGCACAAGGTAGACATTACTGATCATACAAACTGTCTACTTCTTCCAGCACATCAGTTTTCTCTTCATAAAATACAGGACCATGCTTGTTAAAGTACCACCAGAAAGATGCTAGAATTATGTAATGAAACAGACCTCCATTTCTTTGTCCAAAGCAAGCCTCTGCATTAAAGAAGAATGTGCTTGCAGCCTCTGGTTCACATCCTACCAAGAACAAAATTTTTTTGATGATATTTAGCAACAATGCAAGATGCTTGAATCAAACAGTGGCAAAAGAGTAAAAAATAATAATGATGAATTTAAAGTAAAGTACTGAAAAAGATATTAATAATTTCCACAAGGTTCCGCATTATGGGCAAAGGTTATATTAAAATCTTTAACATGAGAAGTTGTACTGCCAGAGTTTTCTTCTCCTAAAGATGAAATTTGCTTTTCTTGTTAGTTGTTATGACTGGTATTCAACTACTCCATTAAAATCTCGGAACATGACCAGCATCTCGAAGGATACAAAACTACTATGGTATAACTTTGTCCATTCTCCTATGAAATGTCTAGAAAGAAAACGTCTAGCTAACTAAAAGATACACGGCCAAGATCTGTTTCAACTGTAATGATATGCTAAAGAAGCCCCATATCTAATCAACATAACAGAGTCCACACCTGCATGACAAGAAAATGTGCTTATGTCTGAGTAACTTGAGAGGGTAGTTGCCTCAAAGGCTAACTGCACAACTAAATATAAAGCTGATCCAGGATATGATTTGACCATAAAGTTGCAGAAGGTTTACATCCCCTATAGGTTAACACCAATTTAATTGTACAGGTTGATATCAACATCTGGAAATACCAATCAGCCTTCGTGATAAAAAATTTTTCCATGTTGAACACCACCAGTACCCCAAAGTAGCACAACTTCTTGGACAAAGTTCTTCAAGAATTGCTAAAAATGTTTGAAATACCAAATCTTATAACACCTATCTACTTCACAAATCTAATTGTCTAACTATAGAATTAATGATGACAATCCAAGAATAGGCTACTTGTTGAAACCCCGGCTTTTAAGCTGCACTTGCCATCGAAGAATCACAAAAGTGGAGTTTAAAAAACAATCATTAGCCAAAATCATGAAGCTGCCAGCCAAAAGAACCACCTCGCACATTAAAAAGAGACCAAAAGTAGGGAGACGAACCATTCAAGATCGAGTTTAAAGACACACGCACAACACAAGGACGCTAGGAACATCAAAAGGTGACCAAAATGATTTCAAGTTGAAATACGGGAGTGAAGTATGATTTAAAACCCGACTTCAAGAGCCAACCCTAAGAATCGCAAAACTGGGATGGAAACAAAATCATTGACAGAAAATCAAGAAGCCACGAGCTACATAACCATCTGTAGTATTGAAAAGAGACCAAAAGGAGGACAAACAACCATTCAAGATTTAGTTTATTATGTACGGCCGTAAAGCACGATTCAGACCTCGACTCCGAGAACCAATCTTGCCATCGAGGAATCACAAAACTGGCCATAATAACAAAGCCATCGGCTAAAAGAACCACCACTCCCATTGAAAAAAGACCAGGAGGAGGGCGATGTTCCATTCAAGATCGAGTTTAAACACAGTCGTAGTGCACAATTCATACGCAACTTCATCAACCGAACTTGTCATCGAGGAATCACAAAACTGGAAGGCGAACACCATTCCTCGGCCAAAAACACGAAGCCGACAGCGAAAAGAACCATCTTAATGTATTGGAAAAAAGAGGGCGACGAACCATTCGACATCGAGTTTAAATACGGGCGTATGGAACAATTAAAAAACCTTAACACCAAGAACCGAACTCGCCATCCATATATCAGAATCTGGGGTTCAAACAGAATCTCTCAGCCAAAAATCATCAAGAACCATCGACGATCGAGTTTTAATACAGGCGTAAAGCACAGTCCGGGGGAAGGAGAGATGAGAGTACCTGGTGCGAGTCAAAGATTTGCCTGCGCTCAACAAGATTGGCGATGTTGCCGTCGGGGAAACTCCACGTCTCCATCTCAGGCGGAAAGCGAAGGGAGGATTTCGTAAACCACCAACCCCGTCCAATCTCGCCTCTTCTCGATCTTCGAGAGGCTCGGTTATGCAATAATCTCTAGGTCGGTATCGGAAGCACCGAGGAAGAGGGGCTTCCGGAGCTTTCCTTCGTTTCTTGGGGCCTCTCTCTCTCTCCGTCCCACGCCCACCTTGGCGTTTCCTGCTTTGCTTTCATCAGCCTCTCACCATCATCTTATTTATCGCGCCGACTACAACTCCCCCGTCGATCGAACTCGAGTCTGGTCGCGGGACTCTAAAACGACTCGGTCTAACACATAGTCACATTGGGTTCATGAAATAACATAAATAACCAATTTATATTTATTCTAAAAGGGATTATTCCACCTCGCAACATCTCCAATATACCTCAATCTAATTATTGTTTGGTTGTCCCTTTTTGCCAACAGTAATTACCATGCAGGTGGTTTTTCTTGGAACAATTACTCATCTATTTGTGAACCAACTGATATAATTCCACATGGAGACATCCGCGTTAGACGACATTTGACAGATTTAGATCCCTAATAATCCATTTAACTCGCCGAACCCTGTGCTACAGGACTAGGACATTGGCCGGAACGGGCTCAACCGGAACACAATCAACATGGTAGAATTGTATTGGTTGTTTTCGCTGTTTCCAACTCATGTAAAACACAATAAGATCCTTCATAGGACCGCTGTACATACATACATGCATGCATGCATAAACAGCCAGGCAGATGTTTTAATTCCTAATAAATTGAGGAAAGTTTCCCAACTCGACAAAACATTGAACATCTCGGGCGACCCCATAGATGATACTGAGCACCAAAGTTCTTTTTAATAATAGAGAACATTAATATAATTTACAGACTTTAGAAACCAAAACTAATTTTACTATGGAGGGCAAAAAAGTGATGATACTGTCAAGTTACAAAAAAAGAACAAAGCACATCTGCAAAACCCCAGCTGACACCAGGCAATTTTCTTGATAGTATATATACAAAGGGTTTGTAAAGACCTATCTATCCAATCACAGCCTTGGGGGGCTACTACTTTCGGGACATCTACAGATTAGTCCTCCACAGATTGCATTCATCAAATGGACTCATTCAAGTAAAAATATAGATCTCAAATCCGCTATCCGGTGTCAACCTTGAGAAAATGGCACGACCGTGGTTTGAGTTGAATTCACTGACCAAATTTTCTGTAGCTTTCATCACTTGGAAGCTACTCACTTTGAGGAGATGGTGATTGTAGCAGAGAGGTGGAGGGTCCATGGAGGATTTACTATTAACTTTTATAAGCATCCGACTTCTGATCATGTCTCTACTTTATATGTTTCTGAATTCTGATCAAATCTCTTGAACGACTGAACAGTTCGGCCACAAACTTCACCTTTATATTGATAAAATATCACCAGCCAATTTACAGTTCCATGAGAAACCGCTAATATCCAATAGCTCATTAGATTGCAGAGATACACCACCTGAAATCTACTCATTTGTGCAGCCATCAGCAAAGGTCTTTATTCTTTGCTTGAGAGTCTGCAAAAAGATGAATTGCTTTAGCATGCTTCCCAAAATTCAAGGAATCACTTGCAGATAATTGCTTTGTTTTTATTAAGGTAAGTAGCAACAACAAGAAAGCAAAAAGATTCAGATGAAGGCATGATTCAGTTAAAGGTGAAATTGTACCTTCAGTTCTTCATGCAGCAATATGAAGACCTTCTTCATTTGCCTATTCCTCTGAAACATCAAGGCCAGTACTCATTTAGTTCTGATACCATCTCAGAGAGAGATAAATGACATCATCAAAAGAACAACATTTCTTTTCTTGAAGCCAAGGTTAATTTGATAGGACTTACACAATGATTTTTTTTTATTAACGAAACTCATTATATGGTAGATCACACACTACAAGGCCATCAATTACATTCCCACTCTCAATGAAAGATTTAAAGAATTTTCCACATTATTAGCAAAAAAACTCAAACAGCGGAAAAAGCATATGGGCCAGCGTATATGCATCCCTACCCTCACCACCTCAACAAAATTAATTGAATCCTTCTATGTTGGCATAGAACACTGGATAACAAGCTGGAGATTGTGAAGTTCAGTTTTGTCTGAAAGAAAGGCCTTAAACATGATAAACATTAATGTGATCAACGTTAATATGCATTTTCTGAATTCATGAAGTCACTTCAGGCAGCTGTAATACATATAAATCAATAAGAAAGACATTAAAAGGGTATCGGATTGCCCAACAGAAAGTGGGGTCTATCATGCAACTTAGAGCAAATAATTTAATACGATTTTTGGGACAGTATCACAAACACGGTAAAGTCTCCATGAAGTATAATATGTAAATATTTTAGAACAACATCACATGCAAACAAACATAGAAATATTATACTCACAAACATTAAACGTTTACTGCAGCTTATATCAGCATACCAAACTGAATAAGCACACTTCTGTGCAACTTTTTATCGGTAAGCATAAATTCCTTTCTAACAGGAGCTTGTAAAGTTATTCTAAATTATTTGATCAACCAAATATTTGTCAATTTAATTATAACAAATCTACCTCTTGATAATGGTGATACATTTCTCTCAACTTCTCCACAACATTATAGTATTCCTTCACGTCTCGCCCTTTGGCAATTTCAAGATCATCACCCAGTTGAAGGAAAACATTCCTGTATTCAAAAGATTGAACATGCAAAAATCCATATATATTATTTGCACAGACTCAACAATTGAACAATTTCGGGGTCATTGAAGCAGCTTTTTGTACTAAGTTACTAAAAGAAAATTTTATTAAAGAGTAATAAAATAAACTTAAGTACCTAATTTTCTCCAAGTTTTTATTCAGGTAGCAGTATACTTCATACTTCTCACGGTACTCCTGGACATATTGCTTATACCTGTTACAATCAATTTTATAGAGTCAAAGCAAAATAAGCTTAAATAAAATGTAAAGAATCACAGTTCAAATATGATTCAAGATATGTGCAAATCTTGTTCTTTAAACAAACCTTAATACTAATTTACTTTTCAATTTGACTTAATGTTATAAGGAAGATTGTGGACTGTGGAGAAGGTTAGAATGCCAATATTCTCTCTTTGACCAGAACAAGGTGCTAATACTAAAAATGGACTACCCTATTTACCTCATATTTGCAAAATTCTGATAAGCAAAATGCATCAAATCATAACATAAGACCTTGTTATGAATCCGATGCATGGACACTGATCAAACATAACTTGGACATTTTCAAAGGACAAGTATCACTGCATCCATTCATCAGTTATATAGTATGTCGCCTCTTCTCTGTTCGAGTCTACAAAGAATGAAATAACCATATCTGAAATTAACATAATCCTCATGAAGTCAACAAGACCAAGCTGACCAAGATGATAAAACCAAGATGGCATGTCAAGTCAGCTCAAAATTTAAATATCAAACTGCCAGGCCACAAATAGGAAGTCATGTGCAACAAGATCAAAAGAGATGCCACAAAATGAACATAAATAATGGTTATTCATGTGATACAGAGACCAAGATGCTAATGCCGACATGATTGTGATAGTCATTATATGTATAACTGCTGATGCCATAACTTAAGCCTAAATGCAAGCTACTAGAGCAAGAACTTACTCTGAGAGGTCCTTGATTGGACCCCTAAGTTCTGGTTCATCTTTGTCATATTTTAAATAAAAGAAATTATCCTCGTCAGAAGAAGAGTCCCTCCTACTCCTGTCATTACCATCATTCGCCATCAAAACATTATTCTTACTTTGGTCTGATGCATTTGACTTCTGAGCTAACTCTCCATTGTTCTGACCAGTTTGACCACTATTCTTGTTATCATGCTGTAGCATGTTAGCATGGATTTTCTTGTAAGCACCTGAATGGTTTTCCAGACCCATTTTCTGGCCTGACCGCTTCTCATTTCTACTAGCTGTTTCTGCAGATTTGTCCCAACAAGCAGCTTCAGAATCGGCATGATCCACTGCTGGCAACTGCTCATTCTGGCAAACCATTGTTCTTAGCTGAGGCTGTGCAGGCTGTGCTGAATCTGAAAAGCTTTCTGCTGGGTCTCTCCTCTGAAGTCCATGGTTCCCCTGCCCTGCAACCCTAGAACCTGTTGGTGATTGCTTCTTCAGATTACGAGAAGCACTAATGCAAGTTCTTCCCTTGCTTATTTCTAGATCTGAATTAACAGAAGCTCTTCCCTTGCTTTTTTCAAAATCTGAGCCATCATTAGTAGGAACCTTATTCTCCAATGTCTTGAAAGATCCTTTTCTGTCCAGTTGTATCTTAACTACCGCAGATTCCTCTCCACCTTTTGGAGTTTCACGAAACTCGCCCAATTCCAGATCTGAAAGCTCTCTTCTGAGCATACTTCCCTTACCACCAACAATTTGAGACCTTTCACCATCAGATTTCTCCTTGCCAGTTTGCTGTCCATTAATCTTCGACGTGCCAAAGTGCTCACTAGATTTTGTCTGACAAGAATCACGAAAGGCTGAAACTTTAGCTCCACTAATTTCCCCAACATTTTTCGCAAAGTATCTCTCCTTCACATCACTGTTATTATTTCTGATATCCTTCTGCATCTTCTCCTTTAAATTAAAGTTGTCACGTAAATGTAAGTCTCTATCCAAATTATCACGAGTAATTTCTGCATACTTTTTTCCAGTTTTTTCAATGTATCTGCTGGGTTTCTCCATTGAATCTGAACCTTTATTCCTATTATCTAAACCTGATGCAAAATCAGGGCTTGGAGGCATTCTGCTTGAATTTCCTTGTGCCAAAGTTCTTCCGTACATGGCTGGGCTGCATTCCTGTGAATCACTATCTGTACTCTTACCACCGAGCAAAAAATTCTGTGTCTCAATTGTACGGTCTTTGTACCCATCATGCCTGGGCCGTTCAGGAGAGACATGCGGCATACCACCTGAAAAGGTAGCATCTTCACTCTTTCTCGAAGACATAAATTGGGCAGAGCTTGCAACCTTTGCTCTCTTAGCACCTTCTAGTCTCCCTTCAGAGTATTCTGAAGTGAAAGCCCTTTTAGGCTTCTGTTTGGTAACTTTTTTACTACTATCTGATGGTTCATGATTAGACCCATCTTTTGGAGTAGTTTGTCTCTCATTGTTACTTGACTTTAGGACTTGCTCATTGACATCATTGAAAGAATAATTACCCAACGGCATCTGCTGCCTCTCCAATTGCTTACCTCGATAAGGTGAAGTAGATGCTCCCTTCTCAGAAAAAAGGAAATTTGCATTTGCTTCAAGATTTTCAAACGCTTCATTACTTCCATTAGGCGGAAAGCATTTGCTAGGTTCTACCACTTCGGTCATCTGGTCAATCTTATCAGAATCATTCAAATCAATAGGTGGTGATGGAACTTGAGCTTCTTGATCCATCCTAACATCATTTTTTACATGTTCATCACCAAATATGGTCCACGCTTTGGGTGAGGAAGATAATAGAGTTTCAGTTGTCATAGCTTTGTGAACAACCACATCTTTTTCATTGTCGCTAGTCATTATATCCACATCAACATCAGATCCCTCTTTGCTGCTAGAGGAACCATCACTCTCGCTGTCACTGCTGCTTGCCCTACTTTGACTACCACTGTCACTTCCACTGCCACTGCTTTCGCTATCACTTTCAGAATCACTTCCACTTTCACTAGAGCTGCAAGCTTGGACTTGACTATCGTTATTGGCCTTCATATCACTAGAAAAAGGATCTTGAGAACTTCCTACCGTGTCAATATTTCCAGTAATATCTAGTTCTTCTTCTGGATTTAAGTTTGAATTAGTTTCGTGCTCAATTTTCTCTTCCAAGGCTTTCTCCACATCGGCTACCACTGCTTCAGTATGGTCATGTGAGCTCTCGGGAGAGCTGCAAATTAAAGACAATTTTATTTTGAGCATTTGTGAAAACAAGTACTTTATCATTGTTTATCATGTACATCATATGTACAACACTGTTTCCCCAGTACAACGCATTCTTTGGGCGAAAACAATCAATATAAGAATTTCAACACAAAATGCAGAGATCCATCCAAACAAAGACAAATAAGAGCATAATGCCTCGTGATATAGCAATCTGATATTAGTGACTAACAAAAAATAAATAAATAAAGCAAGAAACACAAAGTACTGCATACATTTACATTCTGGATCTTGTATAATGTCCTATGTGCATGGCATGCTCCAATCTACTGTCCTAGCACCTTGCATAGGTAGGTGCCGCTTGATGGGTATAACACATGATGGTGGCACAAGTAGATATTAGCACGAGATTTAAATATGGATGGCTAGAGTTAGATGCTTGCATAAAAATTACACCTGAAATAACCACCAGTTAACTAACGATTGTCCATTTGAAGAATTTCTACATTGGATCATAGATATTGCAAAGAAGAGCATCTACGTGAAGAAAATCACAGAGAGAACTACATACAACTAAAAATGCATAGACAACTTTACAAAAAAAATCATTTTTTGTTATACATAGTCATTCATGAGAAGGAGGACAAACCTATGACATTTAAATTAGCACTTTTCTTTTTGTTGTATGTAGTTCACAAGTTAGTTTTAAGAAGTAAATAATTTAGAAATGAAGAAGAAAAAGCATGACAGAACTATATCTTAAGCTATTCACATCATTTCACTATGGCTTGGCAATATTACAATGGAAATCTTGTCCAACTTCAGCCAAAAGCTTGTGTACTGCATCCAAAGAAAAAAAAAGGCAAATAAGAAGGGAATTCTGAGGTGTCACATGGGATTTTCCTTAATTTTGTTCTTTTTTCTCTGACTTGTGTTTTCAGGGGAGACAGCAGGAGGCTGCTGAACAAGCTATAAGATACTGATGCTTCTATACGTCATATAATTTTTCTTCTCTCTATTTCTAACCAAAACCAAGTAAAATCAAAGTTTCCCTTCTATTTGCTTCCTAGATCTAACTTTGCTGGTTACAAAGAAATTAGAGAAATACAAAATGGAATAATTAGAAACATGTGGTGAGATATACCTCCCGCTTTCAGGTGCTCGTGCAATGGAGCTTTCCAACTCCACTCCAGGTTTCAAGAAGTACCTGCCTGGGGCTTGGCAAATGGCAATCTGTTAACCAGATAATGTGGAAACATGTCAACCTCTATCACATGCTGAACTCTATCCTAGTTCTCTAGTGTAAATTTCCCAAATTGCTAAAAGATAGTTTATCTTAACTTACATGTTTTATGACACTCTCGATCTTCTTAACAGAGTTTGGAACTCTCTCTCCCACTGCTTTCTCCAAAGCCTAGAATAAATTAAATATTTCATTACAATTTAGAAATAAAACCAAGAGGAAGATTCACAACTTATCTAAATATGAAATAAAAAAAATAGAATACCCTTTGCAACATTAGTAATTTTCATTACATGTACAGTTCATGAACATAGAGTATTGTACAAGGTGAGCATAATATCCTACTGGGTCTTTCCACGGAGCTTCTTGACAGAGATTTATGCTCCATGCTCATCTTGGTGTAACAGCACATACGACTCCTCATAAACATGGGAATGGTTGAAGAAATGTAAATAGATAAATATCAGTGAGTTCATGAAGACAAAAAAAGAGATGGATACTGTCTACTTGCTTCTAGTGAGTATGATAGCCAATGAAAGCAATCAGATGGTCTCAGCAGAGATAAATTCCACAATCTATGCTTGAAAACTAATGCTCCAAGATTTCATCCCAATCCATCACTAGAATTGAATCATCATATGGTTCATTAGAAAAAATAACAAGATATCTAAAAGCTCTTTGTTTTACTAGTGATGTTGCCCTTTACAGAGCTGAATTGCATGACAAAGTCAATGCAACAGAAGACAAATAGTTAGGACCTCATAGCTTGTTGTTGGTGGTAATGGTGAGAAGTAAGATTTGTATTCCACCAAATCATAAATACATAAAAACCAGGTCAGCTAAACTATTTTCCGTAATTTCACATCAAAAAATGATAAAAGAAGGAACAATTCACTAATGGAGGAGAAAGGAGAGTTCTCAGAAGTCAGGAAACGGTGCGACTAATACCATAGTTAGCTTTTTGTAATTAGTTTTGCCCATTGTGAAAATGAGCACTAAATTACAAGTCTAAAACTAAATAAAAAAAATCCCACGTTCATTTGCCTTCAAAATAAATCAACAATCCTACATTATTACCTTACCAAGAAAGTGCTTGTCAATATTTTTTTGGTGCTTGTGAATTCAAAGGTGATTATATCACATTATTCAGAAAAGACATTTACCTTCAAGCTCATTCCTTTGGGATTTTCGGACAGTACAGTGATCAGAAGGTGACGCAAATCATGTAATTGATCACCAACTGCATGCCCACTTGCATCATGCTTAACACCACTTGAAACCCTGCTAGGGACTTCCTTAAAGTTCCCAGATTCCTCTTTGTTTATATTTGAGGAGGGAATATTGTCATCATGTTGTTTCTGGCCTTTCAATGAAGTGCTAATTCCAAAAGTTGAACCAGAAGTCCCAGGTACATGTTGCTCAGGAGGTGAAGGAAGTGGTGACACTGAAAGTCTGCCTTTATTGTTGTTTGATGCTGTTACAGACTTCACAACAGATCTGGAAGGACCAATATTGGAAACTGAAACAAGCAAAGACAAAAGGAATAGATGATTCAGCAATCCCATCTCTCAACAAGAAATAACTAGAAAAGACAACACATCATAACCAAGGTACAATGACAATATGAGTACAAAAATGTGAAATTTTATGAGCAAGTGACAAAGTCCACCTTGATTTGAGTCGGTCTTCCGCTTTTTAAAAAACTCCTTCTTCTGTTTCCAATTCATTCTTCGCATACTACCTAGTGGAAAAGAAGCCACATATGATGCATCAAGAACACTTGAAGCAATATAGAATTTAAATGCATATCTGAACTCCAAGAATACTGATATCCAATAAATAATAATAAATAAATATTTTGTAGTAGAATATTGCAATCAGGCTGTAGAGCTTGCTTCCTGGGTACAGAACTATTGACCGCTCAGGAAATCTTAGAAGTTAACTAGAGGATTAATTGTTCTGATTATTGAAGTAGAAATTTTTACCCTGTGGAAATCAACCTGATGTGTGAGACAACTGTTCCAAATAAGATCAAGTTTCTGAGTCACTGCATCCTAACTTCAGCTTGTAATACTACAGAATACCAGACAGGGTCACTAATGTGCCTACCATATAGTTGAAACGAAAACATGTCAGACAGTGCTGGCCACAGGCCATCACATCGTTGGAACATTGTACATTACTCTTGGACACAAGTCAATATACATTAAACACCAGAAATGCTTTAACTGAATGAATAAATTAATCAAGTAGACTAGTGAATATTTGTTCTTCTCCCTAATAATTTCTTTTTTTTTCATTGACAACAAGTTATATTAAATCAATTAAGAAAGGAAAATTAAGCTAAAAAATAAGCGACATCAACTAGAAATTGTAGCTGACATCCAACTAGCTATATTGTTGGTATCCCATACACACACATATATATAACACCAGAAATGCTTTGACTGAATAAATAAATTAATCAAGTACACAAGTGAAATTTGTTCTTCTCCCTAATAAGTTTTTCTTTTCCATTAACAACAAGTTATATTCAATAAATTAAGAAAAGAAACTTAAGCTAAAAAATAAACGACATCAACTATAAATTGTAACCAACATCCAACTAGCTATGTTGTTGGTATCCAATACACACACACACATATATGGAAGGAAAAAATATATTACAAATTGTAACTTACACATAATTTTCTAGCTATGTACAAATTACAAATAACTACCAAAAAATAATTTTATGAGTAAATAAATAAGAAAATTTTCTTTTCTAGGGACAAATAACTACAAGAAAGCAATGAGCACATTTGGTGAGAATGGTCTAGTACGAAGTAAAAAATGTCTTTGTGCAGATTTAGATTGTTAATTAAACTATAAATTGGCTAGAAAGTACACACGTTTTTAGAAAATGATGCTCGATGCAATTCCAGAATATATACAAAGCTCTAAACACAATTTATGAAATGGCTGACAAAGAGGTTTTTAAATTAAGCATTGATATTGAGCCACAAGCACTTTCTCTAAGACATTATTCTTATAATCACTATTGTCAAATTCATACTTTGTTGGACACCAAAGTTTACCATATGGTTGTTACTGGTTGGTGTCATCTTTTTAGTATAAAGAGTGACCGGCTGGTACAGGTCAGTATACCATCTGGTATACTGGCATCGTACTAGTTTAATAAAAACCCAAAAGCAGTACTGAACCATGATTTAAATCCTTGAAGAAGTGTATCATTCTTGATAAAATTTAACAACAATTGACTGTCGAAAGCACTAAATCAAAGAGAGCTTTAGCTAAAAATATATGCAAGTGGTCATAATGAAAAAAAAACAACATAAAAAAGGCACACACAAACAATGAAAGAGAAGTCAAATCATATGCACTTACAGCAGTGATGTGATCCATAAAATATTCAGACTAAGGATCAGTAATTGAATTCAAATAAATTCAGATTCATCCAACTAATTGAATTTCTAGCCCAATATAAAGGAACTCCAAATTTTTCATGATCACGATGAACTTAAAGTTCATAACAGTGATTTAAAAGGTGCTAGACACCAAAAGGCGCCAAGGTTCGAAAATGCCCGAGGCGCTAGGTGCTCGCCTAGGCGCCGCCCAAGCGAAGCGAGGTACTTTAAAATATTAAAACATAAAAATATAGAATTATAATTAATAAATAGAGATTAACAGTGTTAAAATCTAAATAGGGACTATTATATGATAACAGTAGTCTACTGTTAATAGCATTTTAATCTACTGTTAAAGTAGTTAGAGGGGAGAAAAAAGTCACTGATAGTGGAAAGTAGAGAAGGAGAGGGCGCCGATGACGGACGACGACGGCAGCGACAGAGGAAGTTGCAGACGACAACAATAGCGACAGAGGAAGTTTTGGATAACGACAGAGGAAGCTACGAATGACAGCAGCATGGACGAAGAAAGCTTCGAACGATGACAGCGACAACGACAGAAGTTGTGGACGGTGACATTGTGGGCGGAGGAAGCTTCAGATGTATCCGTAGGTAGCAAAGGAAGTTGTAGTCCTCTCCCTCGACGATGGAAGGAGATGCACATGGAAGCAACGACGACGGAGGGAATTGCACACAAAAGCTAGACCTTCGGACCCGTTTGTCGATGGCAGAGGAAGCGTCAATCTTGTGTGTCAACGGCAGAGGCAGCAACAAAGGTAGCAACGACGGCAAAGGCAATGGCTTCGCACGAAGTAGAGTTTATGGCTTGGGGTCGTGCGAGGGGGCGGGGTTTACATGCGTAGATTTAGTAACATCATATAGCTTAGTTGGTTTAATCGAACCACCTAAGCAACTGTTCAACCGAACCAAACTTAACAGTCTGGTTCGGTTGCTTTCTTTTTCAATGCGGCGCTCGCTCGAGGCGCCCAACGCCTGGGTTCGGGCAAGCAACCTGGCGGCACATCACTGAAGCACGTCACCTGATCAATGCTTGAGGCACTCAGGCGACTATTTAAACCCTTGGTTGGCAATTTCTATTTAAATCTGTTTAGGAACCCATCTACAAGTTACAACATGTTCACTTCGACCTCTAAAAGAATGTCGAAATTCATGTCCATTTCTGTCCAAATGCAGATTGGAAACTCAACTCAAACAAAAATCAAGAAAAAGAAAGGAGATTTCCAGCTGTTATCCAATTATTTAATTCAGTCAACTTTGCTTGAAGAATTACTTCCAACAAAAATGGAACAGAAAGCAGGAAAATAACACAAAAGCATATCACAAATTACAGAAATTCAAAAGATAAAGAGCAACTAATGCCAACATCAGAAGAGTAAGTGCTGACCCTCAACAGCAGCAGCAGCAAATGTTTTGGCCTGATTTTTCACAGATGGATTTGCAGGGTCTAATACTATGGCCCTGTAAACAGAACAGTCAACCAAAATGAGAACAAGTCATTCCATTAAATAGAATGGACAGCTAAATACATACAAGCATATACAACATACAGAAGGAAATACGATAAAATCAAAATGTTTGTTCTTCTTCACATAGACAATAGCATAGGACAAAAAGAAAAGTGCTTGTTTAAACAATAAAGCCACAAATTAATAGAAATTTAGCCAACATTCAATAAGTGTGATTTTCCATAAAGTCAATTCCTAGCAATTGCAGTAAGAAAGTTCAGCAGGAGCATCTTTAGCTAGGTGAACTATAAAAATCTACTTGTAATAATCTATCAACATAACTACCCTAGGGAACTAGTTTCTTGTCAAATTATTTAATATCTCATACAGGCAATTGTAGTATCACAGGACATAAACACTCCCCCTGATGTCACATCTTGTGTTAAAAGAACTAAGATCACTAAAACCTTCTTATCATATTATTTGATATTCAATACATGCAATTGTAGAATAAACACACCTCCTAGTGTCACATCCCATATTATAAGCACTGAAATCACTAAAAGCTTCTTTTCATATTATTTGATATTTAATACAAGCAATTGCAGTATCACAGGACATAAACAGGTCCCCATATGTCACATCTTGTATTATAAGCACTAAGGTCACTAAAATCCTTCAACTTTAAGGAGTGAGTTTGCTTGTTAGAAAGAACTTAACAAAGGACCAGAAATCAAGAAGAAGCCAATGATGAATTAAAATCCAGTGGCATGGGCATGATGAAAAACTCTTAGATGTTGGAGATCTAGTCCATACACAAGTAAAATTAGAGTATAGATTGATGAAAACAGGTACCGTCTTGAAGTGAATATTGACAGTTGGAAGCACACAGTCCGAATCAAGATAATATTTTTGGAGATTGAGCTCAATAGAAGAGTCCTCAATCAACTTACTAAAAACTGGAATGATCAAACATGGATTACGTCCATATAAATTGGAAGTTAGGACAATGATATTCATAAATAAAATGGTGCAGCAAAGTTTCAAATACTGGTCAAACTGATACGTACTAACCAATATTTACTGGTCACATGAAGTACCAATTTCGGACCATATCAGTCCATAGTGATCGAAAAAAAATTTTTTTTTTTTCTGCTGGTAGGAAACAGTGCAGATCAGTATACCACCCAGTATAGTGGTATTGTACCGGTCTGATCTGTTGTCACGACACATATCAGATTGGTACTTAAAAGTTAAAACCTTGGTCGGTAACATAATCAAATGGCTTAATGCAGAGAAATTGAAGGGCCAAACAGAGGTCATTCACCAATTTGGCAAAAACAAAGTTCATATTGGTTAAAAAGTGTTAGACATAAATCAAGACAGCTTCTATAGCTTATCACTGCCAAGTGGCAGTTCATTGAAAGTGAATAGCAGCAGAAAACGTTTTTTTGGGAAGATATTTCTTTTAAAGTATGCATAACAGACATACGATATCCTGTTAAGGAAAAGTGCATAGCAACAGAAATCTTATTTAATGCTGATTAAGGAGCTCTGAAACATACTTCCGAGATTTAGATAAGCGTTCAGCCTCCTCCGACCGCATTTTTACATGGTTCTTTGTGGACTCATCTAGGATTCTTTGAACAGTCAACTTGCGCCATGCAGAGCCACTTTCAACAAGCAATCCATGTCCACCCTCTCCACTTCGGTGTTCCTCGTAAATATCACAAAGATCTCCAAGTTCCCTTGACCATGTAAAACTGAATTCTTTACCTCCAACATCTATGACCTGATGCAAAGAAACACATTTTTAATAATGGCCATTTGCCTAAATATGCAATGGAAAAAAAATATTGAAGGAGCACAGAGCATCAAGTCCAGCAGATGTCATTTCACCCATTGTTTAGTTCCCTTTGGAAGCATCAATGCATTGGTTGTTTTACAATTTGTTTCCTTAAAACCTTATTGACTCATACCAATAGTCAAAAAATTAACTATTGCTGGAACTTGCCTAATTTTGAACTTTAGCTCATGCAACAAGGTTTTTGAGACAAACTAGGAATAAGAATGACACATTGCAGACATATTAAAATATACAACTAAGTTTTGGTGCCTCACTTATGGACCACCATCTTCAAAACAGTGGTAAAGAAAGGGCAATCCAGTAAAGCCTTCATGCATATGCAAGTGAAGAAAAAGAATTCTCAATTATTAAGTTGGTCATAATTCAAGGTTACATAGTTCCATGCTGGAAAATTTGAGATTTTTGTCACTCGTAATTGATTATACTCTTGAGTCATCAATAGATGGAACAGCTAGAATTCATCCAGTTGTAGCAATGTGCAAAGGATAAGCATGACAACATGCTATTGGAATAGCTTAGACAATAAACATGGATTTCACAACAATACAGAGCAGGTGTTCTACTCATGCAAATGGAAATAGTCCACTGAGAAAAGAAACACTTGACTTTTGACAAAGAAAAGAATAGGCATGCCAACATGAAATAAATCAATAGAAAAAACTGATTTGACCCAGTTGAGCTGAGCAGGACATAAATTCAGTCCATGCCCTATCCTAATAGGCAAGGGATGAATGATGACCCTATCAAATCATAGTGATATGATGGACGTAGTGATTGAAATATTGATTCGTCGAACATGAACTTTATACTTCTTTCCTTTACTTCTAGGAAATAAGTTGAATGTATCAATTAGATATTTCCCTTTTTATTCATCACATGGGTCATGAGTGACATTCTACATTTTAAAAGGCTTACCAAACACAAAGATCTTAAATTCAAGAACCTACAGATTTTTAGAGAGGGCTTGAAATGCTAAAATAGAGGGGAACAGAGAGTGATAGGAAGACCAAGCTGTATCCAGGACACTTAACCAAAACTACAGCACCTTTGCCTTTGACTCATTCTTGTGAAGGTGTCATCAAAATTACTCTGTTGAATCTTAATTGAAATAAGACCAGAATAAAGCAACAAAATTCTCAGATTATATGTATTATCAACATCCATACCACGTGAATTCCATTGAGTCGCTGAACTTATTACACATCAATCAAAATCCTTCACGGTTCAAACAATGCAAAGAACAAGGATAGAAAATCACATAAAGAGCATTTAACGCATACATTAATATAAATAAAATCATCTCAGACATACAAGCAAAAATATGCCATTCAAACTAACATCAAAGAACAAGAAACCAAGACAATCGAGGCACTCATTCGCAGAGAACCAAATACAATACTGGAGGAGATTAAATAGGGCTTACGTTTCCCGAGGTGTTAAAGTTCGAGTCAAACTTGATCCTGGCGATCCCTCCCTGCGCCTCCACGCGCCTGATTTCATCAACCAGGTCAGGCGTGAGCCGAATAATCGCCGCGAAGTCGGGCGGGCCGCCTCCGGATTCGAGGCTGAAGGTCTCCTCGCGCGCGGGCGCGGAGGGGGCAACCGACGTACCGCCAGGGCGGCTCCGCGCCGCGGCGGCCGAGGCCCCGATCGGCAGGCGCCCGCCCGGGGCGGCGCCGGGGCGGTGGAGGGTTGTCGGGGGCGGAGCAGGCAAGGGGCGCTTTCCGTTCCCCCGCCCCGCTCCGGCACCCCTCCCTAGCTTGAACATCGACGGACAAGGGATCTACTTCGTCTCCGTCGCCGTGGGTGGAGGTGGGTGCCGGTGGCAATGGCGAAGAGAGACTCCTTGCTATCGCCTTTAGGGGAAACTATAACAGGAGGTTTATTCCTCGAAGCGTTTTTGGTATCGGCTGATATATATCGCTGCAATTTAATACAATACACGGAAAAAAAGTAAAAACCTGTATCTGATTCGTGAAATGACCGAAACACCCTTATGCACCCAATTAGATCAAATTGTTTCCTTTTCTGTATATGATCGGTACGGGATCAAATGTCATAAAGGCAATGACTGCGTCGCACCGCTGACCATGTTGCATCATCGTCATCGATGCTTGCCTTTGGCTACAGAACGGGAAAGGCGATGTACTCGAGCCTCCTCCGACGGCCATGTAACGGCAGACAAATGCTCCTGCTCACTTTTCCAGCAGCGAAACTCCTTCTTGGCTCGCTCCTCCTCGCCCTGGTGGCGCTACCCGGCTGGAGACCGCGGCTTCCGCGTCTGCTCGCAGAAGAAACGTACGTGTGGCGAAGCCGGAGACCAAGCGCCCGACCGCTCTTTGGGCACACGCATCCGCGCGATACGTCGGCGAGGCTGTAGGCCGTTTGCGAGGTTGCCGCCTTCTTGAGGTGCGGCCGCTGCAAGGCCGTACGCTATCTGTAAGAAATCGGGGATTCACTTCCATCGCAACTTCTTCTTCTTTGGTTTCACTGACCTCATCTCGATTTTTGTTTTCTCTTTTTGGTAGCTTTTGATTCTTGATGTTTAACCAATGCATATATAATTGCTTCTCCTTAGCCTAAACCGGTTTGGGCATTGAGAGGGAATGTTCAAGCTTATAAATATATCGAGTATTTTTCCATCAGCTTAAGCTTTTTTGTGGTTACCTAAATCAAATCTTTATCATTCTAATTTGGTAAAAGTTGATGCTTATGCTAGTTTACTGTTTGAAACTGATGCTTACTGAAATCTAATTAGGCACTGTAGTCACTGTAGATAATTTCTAGGAGAAACTGTGTGCTCGCGGCATGTATATCTCTTTGTATTCAAGTTGGTGAGATCCTGAAAAGGGTTTAAAAGGATTTATGAAGAAGGGCTGAATGCGCAAGTTCTCTTCCTTTTTCAAGATAAGATTACATAATTTCTAACAGAGATGAATTATATAAAGATTCATTGGCAGCATTTATTGGAATGAGACTTTAAAATGTTCTTGTGAAAAGTATAAACACCATCAAGACCAGTCCGTTGGAAGCACCTACAATTTGGTACACTGGGGGTTGATGTCACCTGTGGGACTTGTCTCCGAGGCAATCATCATGTACTTAGTCATTTGATTGAGATACAGGAGCCGCAGCTTTGTTTGTTACATTTTTCAAAAAGCTTCTGTGCTAAATTGATATGCTCATAAGTCTATTTATAACATTAACTGAGTATTTCCTTTTTATTTACAGTCTTGGATATCCCAAACATTGTCACAAGTTGATTTAACAGGTTTTCCATCATCTTCATTTACACGAAACAATACTCATGTCCGCTATGAAGCATAGTGTAATGATTTCTTGAATATTGCAGCTATGAGAAATGTCACATTATTCATTGGAGATTAGTCCATGAAGTGGACCATGCCCCATTAAGTCTGTCCAACTTGAATGTCTTTTTGTGTATCCTTATGATTTGTTTGTTAATAGTTTATAATTCAGAAATGCATTACGTCTTTAGGAATTCTAGTAGTCTTTTTATGTTTTTGAAAGTCTTATCCAGTGATTGCTGCAACCACTTCAAGGACGATAAACTTATAGTAGTAAATATGTGTAGAGAAGTTGTATCTTATATTTGGGTAAAGAAATAGAAATAATGTACATAAACATGTCTTCATGAATATTAAGTGCCCTTTTTTTTCACAAAGGTGGAAACACAAGGTGAAAGCTTTCGGTAGGATCCATGGATCTTGACTTCAGCATGTGTTTTGGTTATCTGAAAGTCATGGACGTGACATTACCAGAAATCAAATCAAATAAGCGACGGTCAGTTTTCACTATCCTACAAATTACTTCAGAACTCTCTCCATATAAGTTCATCTTTTTCAAATTTAAAGCTTTCCAAAAGTCAGTTTCCGAGTTCCAGCCAAATCCGGTGAACCACGCACCAACTTGGTCCACTTTCGCCATAATTGACACAAATATAAATGATTGTTTATCCGCTTTGGACTTTTTTGCCTCTTATGCTTTCTTATTTTAATGTACTGTTAAATCTGGAGTTATGTAATCACCGTAAATTCCCTTTTTGGGAACTATGGGAATATATTGGCTGGTGCATTATAACCCCTCCTTTGGGAACTATGTCATCTTGTAAGAATTACAACTTTTTTGTTCTTACGATGTTGTCTAGTCGTCAACAACCATACCAGAAAGGAGAGTGCAATCCAAATTGGTGAGTTTTTCAACATTGTGTATCTGCTGCTTGTGTCTGCCAGTTACCAATTTCTTCCCTTGTCACTGACATTTGACAAGTTTGATGTATCAGGATCATCAAGCTGGGTTCTTCCATGGCTCTAGTTACATTCAAAACAAAGGCAGAGAGACTGTAAAGAATCTGGATAAGATGGAGGCTTCTTTGTCTGCTAACATATCTGAGGTTTGGAGCCTAATTCTAGTGCACCAAATTTATACCTTTTCCCAACTCATCATTCTCCTTTCCTTCACTTGGTGAACTTGAATTTTCTTCCATCTCTTTTGTGTTTGTTTCCAGCAGCAGGGACAGTACTAATTTACAGTTCCTAAGTTTCTGTTCATTCTAAGCCATCTCTGGAGGCAGTTTGATGCTGCAAGAACCTACACAAGGCTGACTGAAGACGTGAAGCCTGTGAAGCTTCTGGCTATAAGGGCAAAGCTAACACAACAGCTGATAGGGATGCCCTTTCTTCCGAGGTGCCCTTCTCTTTTTCTTATGTCAACATTTTTGGTAACTCCCAACAATCCGTGGGCATATCCTGAGTTAGTGCCTATGTGGTTGTGCTCTCAAGCTCAGAGATCAACATGTTGGCTGAAAGCCTCCACACCCTGATTACTTGCATGGACTAGGAAACTGAAACTGATGACTGGAAAAATACAATGGATCTCATATATATACATGATCCAGGGAGCATTTATTTATAGTGGATATATGGTTTCTTTTCCTGTGGGTGTTAGAGAGCATTATTGATCAATGGTTGTTTGAGGCTGCTGGTTCTTTGTGCCTTTTTAACTCAAATAAAGATCATATAGTGTGACAGGAGTCATGTGCAGAAGGTTGCTTTAGTGCTGCTGTTGTTGCAAAAGTTAGGGTTTAGCAGAGGCAATTGGCTTGGATGATTAATTAATCATGTTATTAGGCACATCTAACACAGTTTATAAGCAAATGTGATTTAACTTAATTTAATCTCATCACTTCCAAATCGAAAAAACACTACCAAGAATCAAGCTGGTTTCAGTCTTAGGTATGCCAGTTGGCCTCCCAAATACCATGAGTTCATATATAAAGTATTATATCATGACCAACTTATCCAAATTATTTGTATGGATAATCTTTCTGACTGGTAGATTTCTTTTGAAATGAGCTTCTAAAATGTTCTCAACGGATCCATGCCTCGAGTTGACATATGGAACACAGCTAAGATTGCATTCATTAACATCTGGAATTGTTGATTAAAGTTTTCTGAGCTCAATCTGAATTGAGACAACCTATACACGTAATTATATTAGCTATTCGATCTAAGATTATTAGCAATAATCGAGGATTTGTTTTGCATCTATCTCAATTTAATCTTGATATATGAATTCATTGTCTAACTCTAAGAGTGTCAAATCATACAAAACTATGTAAATGTTCCTATGATGCTTAAGTCAATTTAGGTCATGAAAGATTCGAACATGAGATTAGAGCAATATTCAAGTGTCTGATAAATGTACATGGAAAGCCTTTTTATAATATGCTTTAGGTCGACTTAGTTGAGTGTCATCAAAATTTGCTTTAGGCGTGTCATTGAATTGCGTTTTAGGTCGATTCGACTATGCACTATCGAAGTGCACTTTAAGCCAATTCAACTATGTATCGTCGAAGTGCTCTTTCGATCGATTCAGCTACGTGTCATGGAAGTCGGGTTGTTGGCCAGCTTAGGATTGTTCTATGAATTGGTTCGTCGAGTGATTCAACCCGGTGCCCTCGTGCAAATGCATCACTTCCTCATTTGCACGTGTGAGTCGTTTTTGCCACAAATTCTAAGGGGCACATTATTTTAGTGGTTCATCAAATATAGTCAGATTTAATTTTTACGATCTCACAATAATAACCTAACATTGAGCCCACGTGGCCTCTTCCTAAGCACTCACGTGCAGATTTGTTGAACCATTGGGGATTCAAAAGATCATGGAGATTTTCAAAATGTCACCCTAAGGTTATATGCCTCAAGGTCGATACCCAAGACTAACCTTCGTGTCATTCCTCTTTTGTCCATGAAGACTCGACTCTAACTTAGCTTTTTTCATAAACATGGATCTCCATGTTAATGTTTTTTGAGTTGTTGACATGTTATGATGAGGGGGAAGGAAGTAAAATGCCCATCGCCTAACCACCTTAACTCGTCAAGAAGAAGCTCCTCTAATGTAGGAGAAAAGGCACGATCAGCCCTCGATGGAGAGTCTAGAGGCTTCTTCTACACCACCACTCAACAATTGGCACCGTCTACTAAGTCTCACTTGCGCAAGCATCCAATAGGGTCATTGCCTCCATCGCCAATAATGGAAGGCCGATGACATGCTCTCCTCGTCCAATCATGTCAAGTCCTCTCGGACTAGGGGGACCGATGCCAACAACAACAAGCGTTTGAGGTGTGGACCAACCTCTCTCCTTCTTTTACGTGTAATTTGATGCAATGCAACCAAATTATTCGACATAACCATATCGTCCCTCTTATAAAAGATGTATCAATCATGCCCATTATACCTAAAATATATTTTTTATATGTGATACATCTTATGAGATATGTATAAAAATATTTCACATGTATAAAACATGTGTTTTACGTGTGATACATGATAAGAAAAGAATATTTAATATATTTAATATATCCAAACATGATACTTTCATTTTAGTTAAAGAAAAAACATATGAAGTATTCTTACATGTCTTAGTGTCGCACTTGTAAGTGATTTATCCACCAAAAAAAAAAATTATTTAAAATATATGATACACGTAAATCATCCCTTTGGTACATGATACATCCACCCTAGGAAAAAAAAAAAATCAAAGCATCTAAGGTGGTCGTCATGGCCAAAGCATCCCCCATTTTCTCATGCCTCCGCTCAAACCCAAAAAGATATATGATATATTATTTAATTTATTTTTGTACAAACAATAAGTGTTGATATTCCAAAATCAATGTTATGCTATAAGATAGAGAATCTCTTACCTCCGAAGAAGAATGAGAGTATAGATAATATAAGTGTTATTTTTAATTAATTAGAATTTGAGATATAGTATTTGTGTATCAATTTACATCCCCAAGATGATGAAGTAATAATCGGATATGTTACATCAGCATGGTATAAAAAAGAATATTTTCTTATTAAATTGCTTAATATTAAGTAACAATCACAATCACAATCACAATCACAAAACCAACACTAGATAAAGCAAATCATTTTAGGTGTATTTTCATTTTAAACTAACAAATTTATAATACTCGACTTCTTATTGGATCTTTTTAGGTTATAACAAATTGAATTAACTTAACTAGTCAAAGGGACTTTGCCAAAGGCACCCTCAACACAATCTTTTGTAGGAGTAGATCCAAGTGAGATAATATGAGATATGAATTAAAGACATTCTCAAATTCAAGGTATAAGATATCAATATTGTTTACACTTCGATCAAAGAAAAATACAGGATATAAACTTACCAAAAAAAAACAAAATACAGGATATAAGATACGAGATATAGATATTTTTATCCATAAGTAAAATTCTTCTTTCATTTTTCTTTTTCTTTCTTCCAGACATGACAATACTCATAAAAGAAACCAAGTCAGAATCAATTTCCTAATGTCATGACAATCAAAATTGACCAAATCAGTCCCTAATAGACTGATTTGTTTCAATAAGAGTATCGATCACTACCATCTTTCCCAACGACGATTCTTCAGTTTCCTACTTCAATTTGTTATACTCATCAAACATTGGTCGTTTGATTAGCAATCATGGAAGCAAAACATTGATAGCTCCCCCCCATTTGTATCAACCGTTTATAAGATAGTCAACTCCCCACAGCAAAGTATATTCTTACTCATTCATGTTCTAGTTTTAGAAGGTGTAGCGTGCCATCACTTCTACAATTGCAAATCATCAAAAAATACCCAACAGTCTATCATAATTCTTTCTGTGGATTACATGTATTTATAAGCTTAAGCTTGTAATCTCATGTTTCTGATATATGCATCAGAGTGGAGTTGGCTATATGCAACAAAGTGGTAGCTTACAGTCAGGAAACTAATGCAACAAGTTACACATTTCCGTAGGTGTGTTATGTCGGATAAGTGCAAGTTGGAAGAATGCCAACAGATGCATCTGTCGATCCACCAATCATGAAAGATTGCCCAGACTCGGGGAATCGTAGATATCTTTTGGGGCATCAGCACCGCATTGGAGCTTATGAAAGTATTATATGTCGAGAGTAAAGCAATCTTGCTTGAGCATTCGTTGAGTAAATCGATAAGCTAATATTCTTAGCTCTCCTTTTAACGTCAAAATGATAGTGTGGAATGCAGAACGACTACGTCAAATGTTGTCCGGAGGCAGGCATGACGTGCTGCTCTTCATCCTTTTTTTTGTATGGTGACCTCCGGGGCACAAGTTGTCCTCGCTTATTTTCTATTTAGGGTTGGCTATATATGCCATAACAAAGCACAAGAACTGGTATGGCTGAACAAGATCCAGGAAGGCTTTCTTTGATCTTTCCTTCTTTTCGTATATAGATCTCTTCTGTAGAAGGATGTCACAAGACTCTCAAACCCCCTCCCGGACGATGGCCGAAGATCCAACTGCAGACACCACTGATGGCATCGATTCGAACCCTGCACCTGCTCCGGGGAAGCTGGTCACAGTTCTAAGCATAGATGGAGGAGGTGTGCGCGGGCTTATCCCCGCAACCATCCTCGCCTTCCTCGAATCCAAGCTCCAAGTACCGTTCTCTGGGTCTTCATCCACACTCCTCCAACGTGGTAATGCTTCCTTGCGATGCTCGTACGTCTTGGTTGACTTGGTGGCGGGTGTGATTTATCTCAGGAACTCGACGGACCGGACGTAAGAATCGCAGACTATTTTGATGTGATTGCTGGAACGAGCACCGGAGGCCTCGTTACTACGATGCTTACAGCACCCAATAACGACGGCCGGCCGCTCTTTGCTGCAAAGGATATCATTCAGTTTTTTCTGGATAATAGCCCCAAGTTTTTCCCGCAAAAGAAGTGAGCTTCGTGTAGTTATATACGTAGATAGATTTATGATGGACTCAAATCATCGTTGGAAGTTCCAAAGACACAGATCGGATATGGTGATCCTTCAAACTAAGCAGTCGTCCATGATTCACCTCATGCAGAGCTGGTATCGTGTGGAACTTGTTTGACGCAGCCACTGGACCCAAGTACGACGGCAAGTATCTGCACTCCAAGATTCAAGAACTGCTCGGTGACACGAAGCTTAGCCAAACCCTAACCAACATAGTCATTCCCACTTTCGACATCAAGCTTCTGCAGCCCATCGTCTTCTCGACCTTTGAGGTACGCATCCTTCTTCTCTCACCGGTCGAATGGATCGTTTCTTGTACGTTCTCCCGATTCATGAACGAATGGTGACTGCAGACGAAGTACACACCGTTGAAGGACGCTCTCCTGTCGGACATTTGCATCGGTACGTCTGCAGCACCAACTTATCTTCCTGGTCATTACTTCCAGACGGAAGACCATCAAGGGGGCACTCGGGAGTTCAACCTCGTCGACGGTGGTGTGGCTGCAAACAACCCGGTAAGACTTAAGAATCTCCATGACATGATTCTAGGGTGGATGGAGCTAATGCAGAACGATGGACAGACTTTAACTGCGATGAGCCAAGTAACGAAGGAGATCTTGATGGAGAATGCGGACTTCTTTCCGATCAAGCCGGCGGACTCCGGCAGGTTCCTCGTCATCTCTCTGGGGACTGGTTCTAACAAGCAAGAGGGGAAATTTAGCGCGCAAGAGAGCGCCAAGTGGGGCTTGCTCGAGTGGCTGTACAACAAGGGAAGCACTCCTATCATCGACATCTTCTTTCAGGCGAGTGCAGACATGGTGGACATCCACGTACCTGTTCTCTTTCGAGCACTCCACTCCGAGGAGCATTACCTACGCATACAGGTAACGGGTTCTTGCTTGCAGAAGAGATGTCAATAGCTTCTACCCCTCGTTTCCGTAGAAGTGAATCGGTGGTCAGTTCGAGCAGGATGATACTTTGGTCGGCGACGCCTCGTCGGTGGACATCTCGACGAGGGAGAACTTGGAGAAGCTGGTGGAGATGGGCAACGAGCTGCTTAAGAAGCCAGCGTCGAGGGCGAACTTAGAGAATGGAACGTTCGAGCCATGTGAGGCAGAGGAAACGAACGAAGAAGCCCTCTTTCGTTTCGCCCGGAGGCTCTCCAGTGAAAGAAAGCTGAGGAACTCTTTCAAGTTACTGAGATGAGATCAGAAATATTAGATCATGATGTGGTATGTGAAATATTGGGCTTAATTTGTTGTTGGACAGCAATAAGCCTTTGGATAAGATATCTTATTCAAGAATCAACATATCATAGCAGATCAATCCAGCTTACATTATGTTTGGAAAGTCATAGTCAGGATCTTAATAATATAAGAATTTAAGAGAGTAAACTGAAGTTTATCAGTTCAAAAATAGGCTCCAAACTGAAGTTTAGAGATTGCTTGTTCTAATTGGGAAGAAAACATTATCAACATTTGGTCATCTTAAATTGTGCTTGCAAAACAACTTAAATTGTGTTCTTATTCAATCTATGATAAGATAACACATAGTTGTTTCCTTTTTGGGAAAAGATATAAGCATCTGAGAGAGATTGCAAGTGAAAATTAAGACAGGCCAATTTTCTTCATTTAAGAACCGAAAGCCTTGGTTTACTGCCTCTCTAAATGATTCACTAAACATCTAATGCTTTTCCATTTAATTTGACCCACAAGTTCATCTTAAAAGAGAAAAATGCACCTGTGAAAGTCAATTTGGCAGGCAAGAATTAAATTCTTATACACCTATTAGCAAAATATTATGCTTAATGCAGCATTCCTCTCGGCAGAAAATCTAAAAATTTCAAATTCCTTGCGTCTGAATAATTTGCAGTTGCAAAGATTCTTTAGGTCTTCTGCGATAAAGATGATAGCATCGATCACAGAACAATTTACGGACTGCAAAGGTTCTTTAGATCCTCCTCCTTGGCGAAAAAGGTAGGAATGATCCTCGAAGCATAAGGATAAAGATCTTTATAGGAGTTCTTTATGGTGCCTTCTGCCACACCAGTTGCAAGGGATATATCTGCAGAAAAATGTTGATGTTAAAGAATAAATACATTAATGTTAAAGAATAATAATGGTGACAGAATTGATAATGAGACTGAAGAACCTTTGAGGGGCTTCTTGTCATCAGACAACTGGGTTATCATGTAAATAACAGCTGCTGCAATTGAGATGGGACTCCTCCTGCAATTGAACAAGGTCATCAAGCTTTCAAAGAGAAGAATCATATGAACAATGTTGATATGTTCCGATGACTGATTGATTTATCACAAAATGAAACAAAAGTTGCATGAATATGGAATAAGCTTATGACCTGACTGTTTTCTCCTAGCAACATGTACTGAGAACTGTAAACTGCTTTATAAAATTTAAGTACTGTTCCCTGAGGATTAAAAGCTTTCAAGACAATATAGTCTCTGTATTAGGTGTGAAATCAGCAAGTTAGCAAGCTGTGGTAGCACCGACAATGAGGCCTCTGTTGGGACTGGCATCATCGGTCATACTAAATCTCAAACTCTTCGAGCACAATCAGTTGGCCATGCACAATCTTTGAAAAACATAGGATTGCTTGATTTGGTACCAGTTTGAACTCAAGGCTAAAACCACAACCTTAAATGAAAAGTCTATAAGACTAAAAGGCAGTATCCTATTTATGTCAAAATATTCTAAAAATGAAACGTCTTATGTCAGGTTCTTCTGTCTGAGAAAGCAAAATTCTAAAATGCAGTTGCCTATCAGCTTTAACAAGCTATTTCAAGTGTAATACCGAATATCAAGTTCCTCTGATTTTTGAACTGCTTCTTGAGCCGCTTTAACTGCTTGGTTAGTCATGCCAAGATGTGAACAGAACCGCCTCTGCAAGGACCACAGCAGAAAGTTATGATAAATGATAAGTATAAATATTAAACAACTAAAAACACACAAGCGAAAAAGGAAAAGAAAAAAAAATTAGGAATCAAGAATAAAAAAACAAGATTATTCAATTTTACGTGGCAAAAGAAAGTAATTGGCAGAATTTGCTCAAACTAACCAAGAAATCTCCTGCATGAATTGTACCCATCTCCATAGATTGCCCCATCTCAACTTCAAGCTGTTTGACAATGAACTCTTTGGCCCGACCTATTTCCTTCTTTGTAGCACCATTGGCAACAGAACAAATCTCTAATTAAATCGAAAATACATGTTAGTGATACCCACTAGAGAAGAAAACCAGAATACACAGAGAATTAGAAATAAGTAACCTTTTACAGTACGAGGCTTGTCCTCCTGCCGACAAGCAATGTATAGACAAGCAGCCAAAATTGCATCTTGATTTCGTCCTCTAACAGACTTCAGATCTTCAACTTTCTTATATATCTCATTGGCTCGATCCTAAGCAAGGAGATAGAAGACTATTACATAGGAATAAGAATTTTTCTAAATATTCTTGATTCTACATGTTTAGCTTCCTCAGATATTATTGTCAGCAACTATTCAGAATTAAAGAGGTCATTAGAATATTAACAGATGGTACTCAGATAAAATTGATTTCCACTAAATTGTCAAGGATAAAACAGGTGGCATAAAAGTTCTAATAAGTTATCCATATGATGAAGAATAGACTTAATAAATTCACAGAAATAGAGTTGGATTTCCTGGTGCAGGGTGATATTATGACAAACAGGATCCAAAGGAGCAAACAAATGATGTATGATGTAACCAAAGATCTACGAGTTGAATCACGATGTCAATGCACATAACTAAGGAAAAAAGATCATGGTTTTTGGCTCTCGGATACTGCTAAAAAATGGCTGATGTTGGTACTACCACAGCACTGATTCCCATGTTAGGAGACAATAAGAGGTCAGCTTAGAGTCAGGGTTTTGACATATAAGAACATGTTTAGACTGAAAAGCAAAATCTGTTGCTTCAGAATCATAAATTATGACAGAATTACATAAATGTCCTGAAATATGACTTTTTTGTTATGATTTTCATATGTTGCTATTGTCAGCAGCATGAATTTCTGGTTGGGTGGGTGGCCAATGTAATAGAGACAATGAAAGAAAGAACTTAGAGAAAGTGAAGAGAGAGATAGAGAGAGAGTGTGTGTGATATCTCCTTGACACAGCCTATAAAGTTAGCAGATAGAGAACTTGAGAAGAATTTTGTTCTAGGATCACAAGCCAACTCTGGCATGTCCTGAAGAAATTACATCATCAAAAGACCAATCGGAATTATTAAGGGTTTAAATTCCGGTATGCAGGTTTCTATAATTGATTGAAAAGGCATGGTATCAGTATATTGCAAGTTACACTAACCTGTATAGCCAATATTACCCAAAAAAAGATATTAAATATTGATCAGGAGCAACCTATATGGTCTACTACTACCCCTTGGTCAGACTGATAAATATTGTTCAATACATACCAGTCCAACTGATATTTCATTTCTTGAGTAGATATTTCGAGCTAGTAGCAAAGAGAATAGACATACAAAAAATATCATCATAACGTTGTCCAAGTCATATTCCTCATTTGAACAAGATTGTTTCCTTTCTAAAATTCTGTGGTTCCCATAAAGTGATACTTATTTCCATATCAGACTCTTCTGCATGCTGACCTGCCATATAGAAGTCTTCATCTACACAAGTACCATATTAATTACCACCATGTACCTACATCTAAGATCAAATAACTGAATGTTTAAGAGTTTACAATCTTCAATCCCCTACAGCACCTTTGCAATGCCATTCAACTCATAAGTAGATAAATTGCAACTATTGTGATTTGTGAAATCATAAAAATCAGTAAAAGGACTTTGAATACTTAAGTCTTCAAGAAAAACAGCTGCGCCTCGTCAATTTTTGAAGCCTAGCAGTCCCAGCTCCCAAGCAAGGTGTTGACAGAGGAAGCAAAAATATAACACCAAAATAATTATGCAGTATCACTTTCAAAGTGGCCCAATGATGAAAAGCTATGAACATCTTGACCATCTCAATATTACTAAGGTGTTGAATGGAACCAATGTAGTCATCTAGCATCTAAGCGCACAATGATTGAATATTGTTGTAAATTATAAAAATATTTTATGTTAATAGAAACAAAGAAAATATAGAAAAAACATTTTCATGAAAAGTAGAATAAAATAGTTACTTGAGACTAAAACTCTTTGGACTGAAGAATGACAAAACCATCATCTGCATAAAGCATCTTGTCTTGTATTCCTCATAAATGAGTCTAAAAGCCAACGGAGCTTTATGTTTCATTCAATCTAATTTATCTATTGTCACGAAGATCTGCAGTTATTGTCCCTTTCCAACCAAACAAATAAATGATAGACAAAGAGATAACATGGTGCAGATAGAACTTAAAGAAACAATCAATGAAAAAGGATTCAGACACAGAGAAACTTTGACCCATCTCATCCTCATTCCTTACCAAACTCATGGAAAGTTAGTATACAGAAAACTTCAAGCATACTGCTAGTTTATCATGAGCCATAAGCTTATCCAGTAAGATGCATGATTTCATGGTCTACCTCTATGAAAAGAATTAGAGGTAAAACAGGTTTGGAACAATGTCAAGGGAGACCTTGTACCTTGATAGTCGCAACAAGACCCAACCTGGAAAACAAAAACCACCAGATCAGAACTTGTGTAATATCTGAATATATAGTAAATCGAAAGAAGTGTCAATGTTATTCTAAACACTGAACTTTCTAACCTGACCCAAATCTCTTAAAATTTTAACTAAAAAAAGGAATGTCCATAAATGTCATTTATGTTCTTAAAAATGTTTCCAACCACATAGATATTACATCAAGAAGCCATTTCATTATGCTAAGGTAGACACATGAGAGAAAAAAAGAAATGGTTCCCAAAGTTACATAAATATATTCAAATTAAAAATGTACATCAAAAGATCAGATCTGACAATAGAAACATTGTGGTTGTTAAAGCAATGGAGAACTCCCTATATCCTACACTATTAACTCTCCAGTCTACTTAACAAGAGTTGTTACTATATTACGATTTCACTCTTTAGTTAAATCAGTTATTTGTCAGAGATGGCATGGAGAGTTAACCCAACCACAATTTTCCCTTGGTCTTCCTTCCTCTTAATTCCTTCACATACAAAATGTTATTTTCTAGATTAGCACAATGGCGGTACAGATATAACGATCAAAGAAGAACCAAGATGGAAGAATCAAATGTCACTATAAAGTTGTCCCAATTTGTCCTCTCTTCCATTAAATTCATAGCATACAGAGATTGAAACGTATCTAGAGATCCAATTTTATCTTTCTGTAACAGACCAAATCTAATGGTGCCAACCAAATCTAATGACTCTAGAAAAAGAAGAAATTTCCTTATTAAAAAATTTGCAGGAGACCTTCTAATACAGGCAACAACGGACTCTTTAACAATTCGGGATATGGAAGATCCTTCCTAATCCATGAATCTGCAACCAGATTTTCTATTTAGACAAGAGCCACGTCCAATGATTCTACAAGTCAAAGATCTTTCGTCATCCAATAACACGCTAGGTTTGCCATCGAAGGAAATCCCAAAATTCATACTCGTTCAAGGGTCAGAGTCCATCCTTAAAGGCGTCTCTTCACGCCAGATTCATACGGAAACGGTGACCTTTAGCTAAAAAGATCGGCATAGTAGTCGGTAGCGAAAAGCGAGAACGGAAGAAGGCGAACCTGTCGGCCATGGTGGCGATGGTCTTGAAGGCGAGGATGAGGGATCGGTCGGGGTTGGATCCACGGTTCTGCCATCGGCCGAGGGAGGAGGATAGGAAATCGCCCTGGGCGCCGTTGGGCTTGGAGATGACGGTGGAGAGGCCGCCGTCGGCAAGGAGGGGGTTGGTGGGCCCGCCGACTCGGACAGGGTCATTGTCGCCGGACTCGTTAGCGAAGGTCCGCCACTCGGAGGTCTCGTCGACGGAGTGCGACTCCAGCACCAGCCCGCACTCGGAGCACACCGTGTCCCCCGCCGAGTGGTCGAGCACCACCTCCGTCCCCCGCTTGCAGTCCGGGCAGTACGCGTCCCCCATCGAGATCGCCCTCCCCGCTTCCTTCTCTCTCCCGATCGACTTCGATCCCCTTCTCCTCCTCGCCCGCTTCTCCTTCTCTCCTGCCTCCTATTTCTCTCGGGAGCGCGAGATCGGCTCAAACCAAGAAGAACAACAGAAAGAGAGAAGGGGGGGGGGGGGGGAGGGGAATGTGGGAAACGACCACATATCATATATATTACTCGGAGCAAATGGAATTGGGGGTTGAGATTAGGTGAGACGCCAACGCACGATTCACACGCATGCATCGAGAGGCGTTGATTACTCGGTCATAGCGACGCTTCGCTGATGCATGTAACTCTCGTGGTGGTAATCGGCAGCGGTTTTGGGATTGGGCCAATGAATTCGATTGCGTTCGATAAAAGCTTGACGCTGCACTTATTATATTTCGCATGTGGTGGTTACCATTCGAAGCAGCTTCGAGTCGATTGAATCCGATTTGGTAAGCTTCAATTTGACCCCTTTGATAGAGTCAATTTTGTCAGGCCGACCAACTTGACATACTGTATGTGGAACCAATCCCACCCGGTTTGCTTTTTCCATGGCCACAGGAGAGGGGCTCACTCGAGTGATCCCAACATTCCAAGGTTATGTAATGAATATTTCTCTATTCTCTTTCCATTAATTTCTAGCTCATATCAATGCCGTGATTAATGAACGTTCCAAGTGGGAGTAAGCATTAAATGCACAAGAAAGATAACGTGAAACCCTTATTAATAATAATAATAATAATAATCCACCTTTGTGGTTCTTAAAATATAACTGTTTAATGAAAAGGAATTTTAGATATAGCACGTCGTTACGACCAAATCTTTTTGTTCCATGGTTTTGTGTCCCTAAAAAAGGCAGATCGATATGCTTAGTCTGCCAAAAGATGAGACTGCTAAAACTCATAACTCTATGGCAGATAGCACAGTTGATGGCAGCAAGAATAGGTGTTCCCTTTCGATCTACATAGAGTCTGCCAAACTATATTTGACTGCCAAAGAACAGCAAGTGCAGTGCGGAAATAATATGGCTATGGATGGACATGTTCATATACTGGGATTTAGAATCCGTCGTGGCAGAGGGAACGAGTCCGGTGGTTACCAAGGTGGACTACGACTTCCGGTGGATTGACTTGTTGTTGTGAGCCTGGTCAACCAAGTCAACCGTGCCAAGTGTAAAGTTAGCCGCCAACTTCTTGCATCACACGCAGGTGATCCACCTGATGCCAAGTAGCGATTCTTGTTCTTCCACCTGGTGTCAAATGGTGGTGTGTCTCTTCCCATGGTTACCGACTCCATGCTCATTCCTGCCACCGAGAGTCAAACTTGGAAAGACGATCCACAAAGAGTGGGCACTTGCAGGACGGGGAAGATGCAACCCCCGATCGACCTGAGCGACGAGGGAGTGCAGATCTTCGTCAGCTGCGACACACCTACAGACCTGCCAAGGGTGTAACGAAGAACCGTGGTGGTGGTCGTGAAATCATGGTAAGAACAGCTTCCCAGTATCATATTAGACGTCTGCTTGTGACTTCCGATGCAAATGCAGCTCAAATGGGAGGCAGAGGCAGGGGATGTATGGTTGAACGGAACCGAAGACGTGATGAAGCAATTGCACTGGCACTCACCATCAGAACATACATACAATCTATGGCAAAAGGTGATTCATCTCCCTATCTTTAATCCACCACAAACGGTGATCAATTTCTAAACCTTGCAAGGTTCACAATGAAAATAAATCTTTGTTTGAAAAGCTTGTTCATCAATCCAGCAAAAAGAATTGTTCAGAAACAAAGCAGATTAGCCCTAGGAACTCTCATGTATTGAACTTCACAATGAACTTAAATAATACAGAGAATTAATGTGCATTTTGCCTCCTGCTCATGGCTGCACCTCTGAAGTTTTTCTCTTTCTATCCGCATTAGCATCGGTAGGCCCCTGACTGAAATCAGACCTGAGTTGTACCAACAAAATACAGCAAAGTTAGATCACAACCTGGTGAGCTAAATTGAGAGGACACTTGTTATATCGATGAGACTGATGAACAATATCAGCAATTCCTAAATTTGTCAAACATTACTGAAAAAATAGAGATAATGATTCGATGTAAGCTCAGCACCAAAGACTAGTTCACACTATCCAGGGCTTGTTCGGACATCAAGTCACGTTAGATTTGCGTACAAAAGAAAATTTTATTCATGTGATTCAATCATTCAGATAAGATTATTTTTCTTCAAATTATCCTTATATGGTAAAATCTTCATCTATATACTTGCAGATGTTTCTGGTTCCATCTTTTAAGGTACAATGCCCATCCATCTTAATATCTTTATCTCAGCAACACTATATTTCAGACATGCTCCTTTTTTAACTACCCAACATATTAATATGTAAAACTGGTCATATACCCAAGCCATAATTTGCATGTCCCTTCTAACAGACTGAAAGGATAACCAGTAACCACGTAATACTGGCTAAAATAGACCATTACAACAAAGATCCATCATACAACTAATCTTGCAAAAACCTGATACCTGGAAATATGTATGTAATAATATATGTATGATCAGCACTGCCCTTTCATCATCACAAAGTTACAAAAATCTGGGAGCTTGTCCATGCATCAGAGTACAATTCATCAGAAGATTTGTCATTGCCACATGATTGTATATGCATGTTGTGCAATAAATAAGTCATACAGAAGGGAATGCCTAATTGCAGTGTGGCAATCTCAGCATGTGACATGAAAATCATGATGACGAAAGAAAAATGGGAAAAACAAATATATTCATGTGATCAACTGCTAATGCGGTTTATAAAAAAAACAAAAATCATATGTAAACGGTTTGCATTTTGAGTTTCTATAAGAGTGAAATTTATTTGTGTAAATTAATACTAACCCACAGGTGGAACACTTCTTGTGATGCTTGCAAAATATTGATAAACAAACTGAACATACATAGCCCATGTCAATTGTCTTTTTGTGGCAGAAACATCTACATGAACCAGAAAAATACTGAAATATATCAGAATATGTACAATTACATAAAACAAAACAAAAGTAATAATAATAATAATACATATGGGGGATGGTAATTGAGCACATTACATTCAGATGGGCATACATATTGCAATAGAATGGTTTATGTAAACAGCATGCCAAATGACAGAAATTAATATGTACAATTACATGAAACATGTCAGGACTGGTAATTGAGCACAATACTTATGTTCAGGTAGAAGTATATATTTGAATGGAAATGGTTTATGTAAATAATATACCAAATGATGGAAAAATAATTTCAAGCTTCCTAACATCCCAGGATTACACCAATATAGCATCAAATTTAACTGATGATCACTAAATACCAATATTGCAGTACATTCGTTCTCCAGAATTTTCACACCATCCACTATTTACACAAACTTGAAGAAATGGTAAGTCCTTTGTACAACCAAGCATTTCAAGATTATTTTAATTCATGTGAACCAACAATAATAACACTTATTTAGGTTGGTTATTCATGTACTAGTTCTCAATTTTGGTAAAATTTTCATATTGATTACCAAAGAAAATAATAAAACATCTGCAGAAGTCCCTTGGTTCATTTTTTTATTTGGGCAATGAATTGTTAACTAAAGTCTCTTGATTTGATGTTTGTATCTTTGTGCTAATCTATATGTGAGCCTGAATAGGCAGACAATGCATAGAAGCCATAAACGCATAAGTTGACACAATCATCTGTCTCAATACAGCTTATCAATTAGCAGAGACTAAAGAAAAAGACACTTGCAGAAAAGAAATATGGACCACCTCAAATTAATCATCTTGATGCATTAGAAAATTGGCAAGAAGAAACAATAATTGCTGAACCAAAATTGATCACATGGTAATTGTGAAGCTTGAGATATTTAACAGACAAATAACTAAGAAAGTAGGTGCCTTGTGCAATTTGAAAAATCATCTGTGACAAAGTTGGGGTGAAGTATCACTGCAGTAAAATATTAGATGATGAGTGAAGACAACAAGATATTGTAGTAAATATTAAATGTGCAACAGCAAGATCCATGGTAACAAACATCTCTATGTCAATGCCAGGTTACTGATACACTTACCAAGAATGCAGGGGAATATGGCTGCCAGCCTGCCACTTCAAAGGGAAAATCTAGCATGGAGGACCAAGCTAGATTGTTTAAGCGCAAAGGTTCATATACCATAAAACCATTTGCATATCGATCACATAAAAATATGGTAGAGATTCTTCACATCTGATTATATGTTACCCTAGGTAAATGATTTCAACATCATAAGTCAATTCATTAAAACATCACAGCTAGCTTAAATCTGTCTTTTGAGATTCTCAGCTGATAACTCCTCAAATTTATATACTTGTTCATATAACTTCATTTGTTGGTTAGACCGAAACCCCTATAGTTGACAACGCATTCCGATCATTTCTGTGTATTGTTTCTTCCCCATTTTGAATGATAGGATAGCATTACTTTCTGAGCAAACCATAAACCACCCAAACAGAAGAGTGTACATGGGTACCAGTCCAATCTTGTCTGCACCATAGTTAGTTACCATCACCAAGTGAATCCACTTATCCTTATACAAAAAGGTATAAGAATGGCATCATAAATCACAGAAATTCCTTTATCCTCGTGCTCAAGACATTATGAACACAGATAACCAATATTGAAGTAGAGAATTTTATGTTGCATTGGTGGTTGCGTTGATGGCATTAGTGATCATAAGCATTGCCAGATGCAAGGCTAGTGGTTGGTCATAATTGGCCAAATCAAATAATAGAACAGATTTTTTAAGATGATCAAGACATCAACCAGAACCAACACGATGAGCTAGAAATTGATCAGTGTTCTATGGATGTTGGTCAGGATTTCTGAAATCTGATGGAAATTAACCACGAATAGGCAAGATCGGCTGGGACTGACAGGACTGCAGGTATCAACTTGACCAGTCGGTTTAAGGTGGACCACCATGATTGAATAGAGACCAAACAGGATTGGCTCAGGATCACTCAAAATCCAACCGATCTCACCGAACCCAGAAAGATCAAAGATTTGGGATAGGACTCAACTAATTGTCTGGATACGCATCAGCCAGTTCATGAACCATAATAGCAGGTAGCAGGCTATTGCCAAAAGTGACATTGATAATAACAGTCATGGTAGTCCAGATATGAAAAATGATAGGAAGCCCTTGAAGCTAGAGCAGATTATTTTATGTCAAGCATATCAACAAAATACAAAGTCAGAATAGGCTAAGTATTTCTAGTTGTATCTATTCTCCTCTTTCTGAAAAGAGATACTTTGCATCCAAACAAGTTTTCAACCATAAGTTTCTTCTTTACAAAGCACCATCTGAGAAAATAAAACAATAAGTTGCATAATAAACAAAGACCCAAGGAAACAATATAGAAAAATAGGATTCATTCAGATGGAAAAGTTGCAAGCACATACGAAGCACGAAAATCAACTCCTGCAGGTTTAGGAAGTTGCAAAAAGTTGCGTGACTGCAAATCAGTTGCGAAAACGGCCTGCATATTTTTCACCAGAGGTCAAATAAACATGGTACGAGATGAGTAGAAAACATAAATAATTCATAGCTATCCCAGCCAATAAGATAACTAAAAATTACAGATCATAAACTGTAAATGCCATTAACTAAAAAATACTGATTATACTGCCACCAGTTAATCCCTTCAAATGCAGTAACATATTTGCTAAGTGTTCCCCTCAACTCTCTTAACAATATTCCAAAGTAAAGGTGGATATATATCAACATAATCACATTCAGAAAATAGCTAATTACAATCTATTAAACAAAAGCCTGTTAAAAAGTAAAATATTTAAGTCCATTGTTCGTTGAAACCACCATATTCAAAAAAGTATCCAGATGATGGATAGAAAAAATACTGGCAGCAACTAGAATGAAATCTCCTAAGGTACCCTTCATAGTTCATACAATTGTAGAATCTGTGATATCTTGATATAAAGTTATGTAAGTTGGCAAAAGTATCCATAACAGTTCACTAGTCAAATATGGTCACGGTATGATATCTACAAGTAGCAGTTATCTAGCAAGCACGACTAAAGTTCAAACGACAGTCATATGCAAGAAATAGTCTGATATCAGGTGAGTATGCGTTTATAACATTTATATCCTCTCCTGTAGAAGTAACTAAACAGAAATTTTCTGAACTTGTGCAACTTGTTACTTTTCCAACTCATTTAAAAGGATATTCCTCTCCTCTAGAAGTAACCAAACAGAAAAATAGAAGTAATAGCTTACCGAAAGGTATTGAAATAACCCATCCAACTGCTGTGGTTTCAGATAAACTCCACCAGTGATATAAGAAGCCTGTAAGTTAATTTATTGCAATAAACTCATTACAGTTGATAGTGCTGGAATTAAATTATAAAAAAACTGAGATTGCTACTGGAGCTTAAAGGACTGTATAAACTAACCTGTTGAAGAAAAGCAGAGTGTTGAACCCCCATGACACAGGAATCAATGGGTATCTGAGAGATCAATGATTTGTTCACTACTTTAATGAAGTAGTCACTTATCAAAAGCAAAGAATGCAAAATAATTGAAGTTCTGAACATTTTAAAAAATAATTTTATAAAGTAAACTTGAAATTGATAGGCTTAACAAAGTACATGATGCACATGTAAATCAATTCAAACAAAGTCAAGAAAAAGTGGCGTCAACACTATACGCAACCCCCCATTTGCTAAGATGAGAAGTGCAGGCCACTCCCCTGTTTTAAATGCACTTTGCTGCAGAGTGAAACTTACCAATGAGATTCTTTTGGAGGTGTGCAATGTTAGTTATAAAACTTTATTTTAAAATTAGTACAACCAGATGTTGCTCAGCTAACATAAGTGACAAAGTTTATAATAAAGTCCATAGCTTTTTCAAAGGTTGTTAAAAATCAGAAATATAAGCTTAAGTGAGACTTGTATTTTGGTAAGCTATTTACCCAAACCAGATTCAAAATGGTTCCATGCTTTGAAGTTTCATCAACCGAGCATCAGAATTTGCAACCTCATGTTGAACATGAATTCCTACATTGTTTTATCTCAAAATAAATCCTCATCTAGATCAGAGGATTAGTCGTATCTGACCACCAGTCAGTTTTCTAGAGTCCTGAAGTTTCATCCCACATTTTATACTGAAGCACCTAGATAATCGGTCATATATCCTGGTTTGTTTTGTCAATTTAAAGAGAAAAGGAGAAGATATAAAGATAATTCAGAAGATGCGTTTAATAGATTGTAAACCTGCAAAAGAATACCCTACAGAACTTCTAAGGAGAATGAAGTTAATTTGAATGAAGCTTAGAAGACTAGATGTACCATCCTTGTCTAAGTTGGCAGTTCAACAAACGTTTTGAAAAATCTAGATATAAAATAGTCAATCCAACAAATAAGATGCAGAAGCTTTCTACTGGTAATTATGAAAATAATGCAATAATAAAGAGAATGTCTCAGAAACCTAACTATAATGAATTTGCAATACTAGATCTATGAACCATATGTAACATAGACATGTTTTCAACAATCACCATGATATACATTTCAATATTATCAAATGATAAGTACAAATAGTGCAGATGAAATATTTCTATAATATTAATTTTGGCACAGCGTACCATGGAACGCTGCGCTGAGAATATTGCATTCATTACTGCAACATATCTGCCAATACTCCTCCTCAGAGATGAAACAAATATATAAGAAGGAATGCACAATATCACTATGTTTCATGGATAACATACTGTTCGGGTCCATCTGGAGATCCCTGCAGGCATAAAATCTGTCTGAAGACGTTAGAAACAATTTATACCATAATAAATAAATTACAGCTATTAAGCATTGAATGAATTAACCAGCAAATTACAACAATCGGAAAACTTAACTTGTGTTGGTGGAAACAACATATTAAAGCATACAAAGCTACAATTTTGCAACATCAGATGTTACCAATTTTAGGGAAAACAGAGCAGAATTCTTAAGCTCAAGCATATCCTTTTGAACAGCTAAAAGCAACTGTCTACTTCAACTATCTAATTCTATTACAATCACCTGGCTAAAGTTACACCAAGACATGTCAGTAACTTCTTAAATGACATTGAGAACTATAATAAAGATATTTTGAATTTCATCATCAAGAAGAAGACTGTTCTCACTAGTCCCAACTTTTGGCAAACTGTTGTCATGCATGGATGAAACCAAGAGCATGCCTAGGCAAACTACTCAATGGCATACTTGAGTGAAATGGCTCCCTGAGCTATCCTACGTCATGAGTATGCCAACCATGTCTCCCCGAGGACTACAAGGTTTTTCTTGTAAACACCAAGTCCTTTCATGCATGTCAAAATTTCTTAAGAGTTGATGGCACTATTGTCCAACTGTGTCAAAAGAAATAAGTGACATGTTCAAAACAGTTCTTCGATTAGCATAGTATTTTATAACCATAAAGTGGATCTATATTTCAACTAGCATAATATGCTCGTCTCATCTGATTACTTCTCCCTGTTTAATGAGATCTTAGCTTCACAGTTCAGAAAAATGAGTAAAGGCATTGAATATCCATGAATTATTTAATATCCCTGTAGTTTAATATCAAGAAGTTATGCTAACTTCAGAATATGAATAAAGACATCATGTCCCTTAAAGATGTATAAAATTACATATGCACAGAAAATTCTCTTCGCATTATCCAAACATGTTTTGGCTTCTATTATAACAAAGATATTTAAGAAGTAGCAAATCTTGTGAAAACAAGAAGAATAGAACAGAATGTTGAACTTACCCGAGGCTGTGGATGTCGAGCTCTGGATCTGAAAACCCTCTGTATATCTGTTCCACAATCAAGGACCATACACCCACAATAAAAAGAAAAAACATTTCAAAAAGCAAAGAAACCATCAAAGGATACAGCACAGTGCAAGAGAGAGCGATCCAGAGAGCAAGGAAGATACACCAGTGGCGACCACCTTGTCGGGGCTCTTCCCCTGGAGCCGGTCCTTGACCACAAACTCCTCCAACCTACGAAGAATCTCCGAACAGATGGCGGGCACACTCCCACATGCTGATCCCCCTCCACCGTCTCCCGAGTCGTAGATGTAGCCACAGGAGTTGACGCCGGTGGCAACAAGGACGACCTGGTTGAGCTGGTTGAGGAGGAGAAGGGAATTGAGCAATGGGATGACCTGGTAAAGACCGAATCTTGTGGTTAGAATTCAGGTCTTGATGGGATTCCTCACCATTCAGGCAGAGATTGGGAGGGCGTACATGATTAAGAAGCTTGGAGAAGGGGAGGGTGGTGGTGGGGTGGTGCGAGGAGGCGGAGTCGCCAGCGGCGGCAGCTGAGGACGCCCAGAAGAAGGGGTTAGCATCGAGGAGGACGACGATGAGACTGACGTCATCTGAAGGTTTGATAGGAGGAAGAGTAGGAGGAAGCCCATTAGAGATAGAAAAAGAGAGGCACAGCGCGCGAGAGAGAAAGAGAGACAGAGAGAGATGACGGAAACGGAGTTACCAGAATAGAGCTTGGAAGGAGCAGAAGCGGCGTTCATTTGCAAGTGGCGGCGAAGGGAATCTTTGCTGCGCCTGACGACGAAAAGGCCAATGACCCCTCGGACTCCCTATGAACGCGAGAGAATTCAACGCAGAATAGAGCGTCGCTCTGTGACACTATATACCATGTCAAAGACAATTTAACAAGCACCTGGCGATCAAAAACTGTTGGCTTCCCGATACCTCTCAAGAATTGTTAATGGGGAACTCTTTTAGATGGATGGCAGCGGCAGAGGCAGCGACCAAGAGGTCGGTGGGACGGTGTCACCGTGGCGGCGGCGCCACCAACGTTGACGACGACGCACCCGTCGGCCGGCGGCTTGAGGTAGGAGCGGCGGAGAAGCCGGGCCGCGCACCGGTGCGGTGCGTCGGCGGCACAGAGATCGCAGCGGTGGCAGCGTCTGCGTCCGGGAAGCGCTTCGGCGGCGACGCAGATGGGTTTCGGAACCAAAGATCGCCGTTATGTAACTGCGAAATGGAATGAACCAGACGGACACTGTTGCTCCGACATGGAAACGGATTCGGGCGGAAGCGAACATTACCCGACCCGACCCGCTTTGCCCCCTGTCCCGTGTCGGTTGCCTCTGATACCTTGCGGTATCAGACGCATGACACTACAACACAGATACCTTCGCCAATTACGAGGTGGAGAAAGGGAGAGGAATGTGAAGCACAACAAAGAAGGAAAGATTAGATTGATCATAGCAGCATCAACACCCAGAGTGGTGGCTCACTAATTCTCAAGCAGTTTATACATGAATCATCAACAATTTACGTCCATCGAAGAGTTTCCTAAGCAACTTGGAAGCTGTTCCTGTTCATCATCGTCTAAACAAACTAGTCTTCACTGATGAAGATGAAGAATAGCATAGGCATCAGTGGCTCACATGATCACATCTCCTAAGGAAACTCCATCGACAAATCAAGCTAGAACACCACAGCACAGAGTTGCTGCTGCGGGAGCTGAGTCTGGAGGCCCCTGAGTGCAGCTCCACCACATCTCCTCTCCCACAAACTGTTCGATTCCTCACTCCTTGCAGCTCGCCTCAGCACCGGGAGCGGCGGGTCCATGTCGACAACGCTGATGCTAACTCCGGACGCACTGTGGTCGTCAGCTCCTTCCCCCGGGGACACCGGAGGGCTTGCACTCCTCCCCAGGAGAACCTTTGTGATCCTTATTAACTTGCTGCTCCCCCTGGAAGACCAAGAACCACTCCTGGTTGACGAAGTGGTGGCTGAGGAGGAGGAGGAGGAGGAGGAGGAGTCGTGAGAAGATGGCCTGCATCTCTTTATCTGGCCCATCCAGCTGATTCGCGGCGACGACAGGGTGAAGGACAAGGAGCCGATGCGGAACAGGCGCTTCTGCTTCGAGTGAGAAGAGGAGTAAGAGGTTTTGTCAGTCGGAGCTGATCTCTTTGGGGTGTCTTCTATTGGGGAAGGTCTGAAGCAGCATGAGGGGTTGAAGGAGCTTATGTGGTGGTGGTGAGTGCCGCGGTGGTTGCCCATGAGGAAGAGCCACAATCGGGCGGAGAAGGGGCGGTGGACGGCATGTTAAATAGGAGATTGGAAGTCTGCGTTCGGTCAATGGGAAGTGTGGAATTTGTGGGCTTCAGTAGTACAATAACTTGTCTTGAACGTTCAGAATCAATATTAATATACAAAATCTTTTGCTATGAGGATGACAAGAACAAAGTTGTCAATTTTGGATCCGCAAATTTCCCTTTCATGCACCGATCAAGACTTCGAAGCAGAACCATTCAATGTGGCAATCCACGGAGATGACATGAGACGGCCTATTGGTGCGCACTGCAGTGTTTCTTACGTCCATTTGCCCACATTGACTTCCAAGCTCACCTTGGCTTCATTGGCTAGTAGAACCGAAACAGTCAGCTCTGATACCTCAGCATGGCATTGGCTCCAACCCTGCAATTCCTCTGTTTCATCACCGCCTCCCAGTATTTCATTTTATTTGATGCCAACAAGTATTACACTTTGAAATCAGGAAAACGATGTTACTTTGAGAGAATCTTTTGTTTTAAGAAGACTCAGTCATGTCTAAAATCCTTCAGATCATACATCATATAGAGTTCTTGACCACACCAGGAAGATAGATCTCGTCTCTTCGGAATCAAACACCAAGGAGAATACACTCTCCAGTTAAAGGTGACACCATTAATGGAGCTTTACCAGTCTTACAACCCTGGTCTGTTCATGATCAACACCACTGTAGATCACAGCAGGTAAAAGCTATGAAAAGACTCATGGAAGAAGACTCGTCAAAACGTGTGAAGAGGATACAGGGACGACTTGACCCCGTCAAATGGCGAGACTGCGTATTCATGACTTCACATGATTCAAGAGATGCAGGAACTTTTTCTTTTTGTTCTTCCCCCAAAGAAGGTCTCCTTTTCTTTCTAGTTTTCATACGGTACTGTTGTATTCAAATGTTTCCCACATTGCACGAGTCAGATGGAGCATGTTTTTCTTCTCCATCGTCAATATAATATATGGTATCATAAAGAAAATGAGTAAAGGATCTATTGATTCGAGAACACAGGAGAATGTGCTTCAGGAAGCAAGGAACACAGACGAGTATGTAAAAGAACAGGGAAGAGACTTGTGTTTGTGCCATCATCATTCAAAGAATCATCCACAAAGAAACAGAGATATAGACAAGCTTCATTTATTTGTTATTGTATGCAATTGTATGACATGTACACCTGTAGCTTTGCAAGAATGCAATGAAGAAACTTTTGAACTACATCATTACTATGTGAAGCTCAGAATCATGCTCAAAATGAGGGTAAAGGAACCAATATACATACAACAAGCACCCTGAAAATGGGGGTGCATGATTAAAATTCTTTACTCTTCTTAAATTTCTTTGTGAAGATGCGAAGAGGACTTCGGATCGGTAGAAATTGGCAGTGACCTCTTCACAAATGGGTGCTCTAGTAATTGTGAAGCAGATGGCCGATCATCTGGATTAACTTTTACACACTTGCTGATGAAATCGCGAGCATCTCTCGATAAGTAGTTTGGTATAGGAGGCTGTTCACCGTGGCCGATCTTAAACAAAGCTTGTGTCTGCAAATCAGGAATAGACTAACTTTAAAAAGTACACTGAGAGTTGAGAAAAGAACGTTTCGGTAGGGCTAATCTTTAAAGACATGAATATAGTGGAACCAGCAAGTTTTGGAAGTCAAAAACCACAAATGGAATTACCACTCTATTTAAAAGTCGGTTATCATCAAGCAGGCAAGCTATCACTACAATCAGCTCGCGGGGAAAAGGAGGCCTACATTTATGCATTTTTTTTTGTTATATATTCTATCACTTAACCATGCAAAACTCTATAAAGAAAGCTTTCTAATAATACATGACAGATAAGTATATAATGAACACGCAAACATGGAATAGTTTTCGGACGAAATTTATCTTGTTATTTAACATCTTTAGAGAAAACAGGTTTATCTGAAAATACTACTACATGGAACTTTTTACATTATTAAACCTGGCTAAGTGCAACATCATCAGTCAAACTAGGATCCATCACATCCCTTCTCATTGTTTGGTATTTCTCTCCGTCTCATATCACTAATCTGAAAATACTACTACCAGACTTGACTGCTCTAAGAGGCGGTTTGCTGTTTGCACTGGCCGATGTATGTACAGATGGATGAGATAGACTAGTTTTTATATGCTCAATATGCAGAAAATGATCTCAATTTTGTTATATTTCAGAAGACTAGCTTGATGACACGGTATAAGGCTAAACTGATTTAGGAAGTTTCACCCCATACATGGAGCTAGGAGGACATACAGAAACAAACATATGTGCATCACAAAGCCATTACTAAATTTAAAAAAAAATCAGGGAATTGATCTGGCATGTTCTTATCTCTAAACTAAAGTTTCATATCAGCAAATCATTTCAAATGGGTCCATCTTGCACTATAATTTTCCTTGCATTTGCCTGTATCATGTGACTAAATTGCTTTTGAACAACTACTCTTATACAAATTACAACTAAAACTTAAGGCTTTGCTACACTGCATATTCATTGGAATTCCTTCCGGTGTTAACAAAAGGAGTGCCGCAAAGGGTCCCCAAGAAAGTCTCTTGCTGAGATCAAGGCAATCACATAAAAACACCTGTTAGATGAGGGTGGGAAAATTAAGCTTTATCTTCTCTCCATTGGGAAACTTCTGGGACCCAAAGCATTACTGTAACAAAGAGTGAGCCCACGCATAAGACGCTCATCAATAAGGTGTTTGGGGAGTTCAACTTCAGACAAATGCAACCTATATTTATCTTGTAAATCTTCTCTTACTTCATCTTCCCACCTCTGTTGATCTTAAAGTTGTTTCTGAGTTATCTTCAACTTAGCACCTAATACTAATTATTTATTTAAAATCTTCAAGCTATATCTAATTTTCTTCAGATTTACAGATAGTTGAAGTGTTGAACACATCTGTTGTTCTGTTAAGGAATCAAGACAAAGATTCAACCTGAATCATATGAGAAACATAAACCAAAAATCAACTTCTTGTGATCCATGAATCACTCACCCACTCAAGACTAGGATAAGGAATCTGTCGTGTCAGCATCTCTAGAACAGTGCACCCAAGGCTCCATATATCACAAGCAGGTCCGTATGTCTTTTTAGGGTTAACAACCTGAAAATGATTGCATCTCAATGAGCTGAAACTCTTATAAATATCCAACAATATTTAAGATTAAAAAAAAGTTGAACGCTTGTGCATATCCATCATCATTTGAAGACAAAACTTGAAAAAACATAACAAAATGGCATTCTCTGCACAGACGAAAAAGAATGGCAACAGATTTTGTATTTTTAGAATACTAATAAAGAAAAGGTTTCCTAAGAGGACAACTACAACCAGGTGATCTTAAGGTCATTTACCACCTAGCACACCAGAATATCACATCGTGTACCACAAAGAACCAGCCATAGGTAAGTAGAGATGTTAAATGAAGATGAATCCATAGTCGTCAATATAGATGTTGTTTTGATCTCATTCATGACTTTGCAACATGTGTCTGTTGTTATTTTTCATGTATTTGGTGTACCGCTCTGTGCTTACATGCACCATGCCAAACCATGTATATTTTCTTTCCCTTAATTCTTATAGGTGTTGATCAACATAGAAACAGTTTCTAATAAACCAAAATTAGGTGTGTCATCTTTCCTTCTGTTGGAGGTTTGTATTCTCAAAAATATCATATGCAAGGAATTAACTTAATATAGACTGGTCTGACCAAAAACCATTACCAGATCATATAGGTCGTACCCATTGGTAACTAAATTTCTTATTATTTTATCTGGTGACACTGGCTGGTTGTCAAACTCATATATCATAATTAGTATGGTAAGTGGTGCCTGTTCTTCTATTCCTCATCTTCTCACAATTTCACTTTTCTTTTTATCTCTGGTTTCTGCTGTTGACTAGTTTATGCAGCAACAACACCCGTCCATGTATGTTGGTGGTTGGCATGTCCATGAGGTGATATGGAAATTCCTACTTGCAAACTCCAATTTCGTATAAACAGCACTCTCTGTACTAATTTAACTTGATATATAGATTGGGTGGGATGACAAATGTGATACAAGGTTATGACCATGTACTGTTACAATTTGGAAAATAGACCAATTTCATCAAATCACTTACAGTATAGTATTTGCAGCATTATAAAAGAAAAGATGGGCTTTACCTCAGGAGCCATCCAGTAAACACTACCTTTGCACGATTTGAGCATGTCGAACTTAGTTATCTGAAATTGTAAACAGCAGCAATGAATATGTGTTCACCATAAAGCTTTCAGACCTTCAAACTGCCGCATGTAAAAGAAAAAGCATAAAAAACCAACCTCCTTTGCCAATCCAAAATCAGCAAGTTTTACAGAACCATTTGCATGAACCAATATGTTAGCACATTTTATATCTCTGACAAAAGGAAAGGATAATCTTAGGAACTGCATTATACAAAATAGGAATGAAACTGATGAAGACATTCTATAAAATTAATATTATCACATGATTGAGACTCTTTAAGGATAAAATATGCCATTTAGTCTTCACCTCCAATATTTATCTATGTTAGGAACTCTGGCAAGAAACTAGTACAGAATGACCTTTTACACATGTAATGAGCACCAAGATCCAAACAGTATGTACATCCAGTGCATATAGTTTCTTTTTAAGGCATACAACCATTCTCAAGAGCTTCATGGTTCACCAAATATGCAACACTGATAAACTAAAAAAAAAAAACATATACACACAACACCAAGTCAGTATATTAACTTTTTACGATATGAACTGTGAAGTGCATATGGCTTAAGTTTGTCATATCAAATTAGCTGATGACAGAAGTAGCTACAGCTTTAACTAGGCTCTCAATTTCTCAATTGCAGATGTTTTAGATCGTCTAATTTCAATTTTTAACTGGTGTTCTTGCACTACGTGGCTGTATCGTGCAACTCATATTATTCTTCACTTTCTAGAGTTTGGCTCAGAGTAACATGAAAAGTTAACAATCTCAAATATTTTTCCAGACCAGCTATGATGTCTAGAATTGTTGTGCCAAATGACATCAATTGATTTTTTTCCTTTTTTCATTGGCGTGTCAGTCATAAGATGTGCATGCTACAAAGCTAAGCATAGTAGAGCCAAGCAACAATCCATAAGCATGAAGAAATAATTGATGACCCACGTCAAATAACTATGAGCAGAGTATTGGGCTAGCAAATGTGTGTTTCACTGCTTGTACTGGTTCAGGATTCTGGAAACAAAATCATGTTCTGTCTCTTATGAAGATGATGACATTAAAATGCAACAAAAATCACAGGCTCTTTTATTTTTTGTTGACTGAACCACTACACTTAACCAACCTGATTCTCATAATTAAAAATTCCTTCAGATCTACAGCCAAAACGATTATCATGTTTACATATAATCTAATAATGGAAGTATGCATGAAGACAAACAGTAGAACACAGAAGCTTCAAGGAGAATTCCACAAGTAAAAACAATTGCATCACCTGTGCACTACATTTCGCTCATGAAGATAATTTAAACCGTGCAGAATCTGCCATGTGTATGCAGAAACTTGGGTATCTCGTAGATGATACTTCTGATATAGAGATGCAAGGGAACCTTGTGTGACAAGTTCAAGGAAGATGAACAGTTTTGACTCCTCCTGCAATACAATCCATAAATTAAGTTACAGATGTAGGGACACATGAATTTCTCAATGAAATAAGGAAAAAAAGTGGTGCTCACTCATCTTCTAATAGAATCAAAATCATGATTCCAATAACAGAAGAAGAATTGAAAACAAAAGGTTCAGAAAATGTAATTTATCTTGGTATTCATTACTGCACTTTGTATGAGCTGCAAAAGGAATTAATTTCCAGGTGTGCCATACATATTATATCAAAAAATAAAACCATATAAAATTTGGAAAAAAACTGACAGGTGTTGCATGTAAACTGTTCCATTTCCAGATTGCATTACACAACTCTTATCCAAGGTCAAAACACTTGAATCTATAATCAGATCAGAAAACAAATTACCTTGTCCGTTCCATAATACTGGACTATGTTTTCATGTTCAAATTGGCTTAAAAGTGCAACCTCCTGAAAGAAATAAGTAGAAGAAGTTCCTCAGCAACATAATCGATAAACTAGATGAACGTTCAATTAGCATTTTAGGAAGTGAAAAGAGATCCACCAAACATCTAAAACTGAAGTAAAAATAAAAAAGGTTGCAAATAGTATCAAGTACAGCAAAAGCTAAGGCAATAATAGGTAGACAATCACATAGATATTGACATTATTCTACCTGTTCAAGTTGAAGTGGTGCATTAATTCCTTGGTCGAGCAACGAAACTTCTTTGATAGCAAAAAATACACCATCACTGTAGAGATGCAACATATATATGATCAGCAAATAATATAACAGTTTAACCCCACTTAGTCTAAAAGGAGATGAAAGATATGGAGAATTGGTATCATCAAGGTTTGTCGTACCGTACCGTACCGACGTTTTGACTCAGGCTCGGTACGGTATGGTACCGGTGTACCGGGTGGTATATCAGGGCATACCGAACGGTACACCCTGGTGTACCGAATAATTTTATACTTTTCATATTGTAGCAGTGCTACAGTATAGTACTGTAGCACTATAGCGATACCGGACGGTCCACGTACCGGTAACCTGTCGAACCGGTACATACCGCCCGGTACGGGCGGTACACTTCGGTATGGCAAACCTTGGGTATCATAGTCGACCCGGGCGGTACACTTCGGTATAGCAAACCTTGGGTATCATAGTCGATCCATGCATCATGAGAGGCTTAAGTATAAAGGATTATCTGTCAATAGGACTAAATGACACATCATGACATGGAGCCACCATTCACATACACCATGGTAGAGTCTCATTTTGTGGAGTCTCATTTTGTGGATTTATGCTGATCCTTCACAAGGACCTCAAGACCTTAAAGTTGGAAAGATTGTAACATCCCGATTAAATCTCAAATTAGAAGTGGGTATAGATTTGAATTGACTTATAAAAATGGTTGTACTACTATTAGTTTAAGCTTAAACATTTTGGATTAGTGATTTAACAAAGTTAATGGATCATGTATCTCATTAGACCAGATAGTGAGAAAGGCATAAAATCATTATAAGAATTACATTCTACCAAACTCAAAAACAAATTAAGCAGGAAGAACTTATCAAGGGAAGTAAAATTGACTAGATATTTCTCATCATTTGCAAGCAAAAAGAAAAAAAAACATAGTTCAAAGCAAGCAACAATTGTGCATGTCACTACCCAAGGTTTAGAGGTTCAGTTGACTGAATTATAAGGACAGTACAGACCATCATCAAAAATTTGTTTTACCAATTCTTGGATCCCATCTTGTTGAAAGTCAATGTGATAGGGTGGTAACTATCATCACATGGAGGCAGATTTGACGGTCATTTAGATTGCTCAAGTCGATAATTTTGGGCTTCATTTTTAACTTTTGACGCCGTCATTGCTAATTCTAGATTTGCAAATAAGAAATCAAAATATAGTGGGAGCAAGTTAGTGTCAGACAGTTTATGGTAATTTTAAGTGAGGTCCTAGCCAAGTCTGAGTTGAGACTAGTTTGAATTTGAGATTAAATCATGGTTTCATAGGGATGATTAGTATGACAATCATAATGTGCCAAAGAATGGATAATGTGAAATATCAAAGAACATAGTGATGACCAATAAAGGCAATGGTAACACAGTTAGTATGCAGCATTAAGAATCTAAGGTAAAAGCATAAGTCCAGTAAATTCTAAGGTTTGCAATTTTCCGTTACTACTTACTCGCTGATTCCTTCATATACCTTCCCATAGGAACCACTCCCTAGAAGAACACCTCGCATCCATGACTTGATTTTTCTCTTGAATTTTCCATTTGGTGAGATTTTGAACATCGTTTTTGTAGTCATACTATGTGTATCATCATCATTCATCGGCGAGTACGATGACATCCCAGTGAAGCCATCCAAGGTCTCCCCTAACCTCAGCTCCTCAAACTCTTCCTCTCCGACTGCTTGTCCTATCAGATCTCTTTCGTCCTCTTCATCCACATCGACGGTTAAGCTTGAGGACTTCCTTGGACTTGCACCAAATTCGCCAGCCTCCTCATCCGGAGCGAAAGACCTAACTATATCCCAAGCTGAGCCCATCCTGTCAATGGCTGGCAGTGACATGGATGGAGGCGGCGGCAGCGCCAGTGGGGGAGTGGGCAGCATCGAATTTATCTGCGACGATAAAAGAATTGCTGTTGGCGTAAAAACAGGTGGTCGAACAACTTGAATTCCTTCATCTCCTCCCCCAGATATAGGAGATGGACAGGAATTCTTTACAGCTTCATCATCCGCAACTGCAATTTCATCCATGGAACTATCACAGGAATTTTTCACAGGTGTGGCCTCCTCCACATCCTGACGTCTTGTGGCTTCTTCGATGGACGGGGAAGAGCGAACAGTAGGAGATGAATCCGGCACCAAGATGCGAGATTGAGATGCAAGGGTGGGATTTTGACGGGTTGGGCTATCCGTATGGAAAATCGGGGATCTCTTGTGGAGGAGGTCGGAGGATGATCGCACCTTGCGAGCCTCCCAGGCGAGGAGAGGAATGGCGAAATCTTCAGGGCCGGACAGGCCTAGGGTGCGGCAGAGACTGTCCACCTCGCCATCGATGCTACCCGCAATCCGGAAGCTCGTCTGGTTGGAGTAAGGAAGGTCGAGTGAACGGGTGGGCCGAAGAGCGGCCGACTCGTCCGACAAGGCATGACAAGAAGAACAGGAAGAGGAGGAGGAGGAGGACCATGAGACGCCACCGGCAGCCATCCCGTAGTCGAAGTTCTTGGCGGCGTTGCGTCGCTCCAGCCGTCGCTGTCGTCCCTCCTCCTCCTGCTTCTGCCGCCGCTGCTGCTGCTGCTTCGAGTCCATCCCCCCGCGCCCCAATCGAAAGGCGCCTTCTTTACGGCCGAGGAACAACATGGTTGCAGGATGAACCAAAATCCATCACAAAAAGAAATACGAAAAAGGATACGTTAAAGTTCTTGAAGCTCATGGAGTCGAAAAAGAACACAATACTTGGAGCAGGGGAAGAGCAGAAAAGAGTGAAAGGATCGAAACAGGAGAGGAAAGGAATGGAATTAAGATCAAAGATTTCATCTTTCGGATTATAAAGCTTGGGATCGATGATGATGTGTGGGTTTTGGTTTTGGAAACCCGCGGTCTCAACAGTGCCGTTGGTTGACTACCACTAAGGCACGCGAAGGTGACTCGGGGACAGAGACAGACCGATTCATCTCATCTCATGGCGCCGACAGTCTTCTCATTCTTTCGCAGCCCGATTCATCTCATCTTATGGCATCGATCGCCGTCTCCAGACTCACCAAAAGTTCAGCGACTACGTACCAAGCTTCCTCTTTTCATATCAGTACACGGTGCATTAATGCTCACAGAAGGATAGATGCATCAGAAACTGCTGCAGGTCATTCGTATTTGAGATGCATTTCTCGGGCCACCATGTCATTGTTCTTGGCTGACTTGTAGGAAGTTGGTTGACTCTAAATGACACTGTCCTCGACTGCAGGTCCAAGTTTTGAACTCTTCTAATTCTGAACTCAGACAAAGGAGCAGTTTTCCTTGCGCTTAATGGACCTCTCTTCATGAGTGCTTCTTTTTCCGACAAGAAGAAGGCACAGCAGCCATGAGAGGAATCTACTGAGTTTGTGGACTGATCATAAGATTCCAAGTCAACCTTGCAAATGCTGATATTAGCTGTGATTCCGGTCAAAGTTCATAGTCCAAGCTTCCGATCTAGAATATATGCTCTCTAAGCTCCAACCTTTTTCTGCTGATTCATTTTGTTCATAGTCATTCGCAGTTCTTTTATGTGGAGTGTGGCATTTTTCTCGCGTTGACCGATCTCTGGGGTCCACCAACGAGGGGAATCCACTGTGTTCATTAACTTGAGACCACAAACCAACTACCAAAAAGTCAACTACCAAAAGGTGACACCCGTGCATCGGCTAAAGGTGAGGGATTTTATGACACGATTTGCTTCGGAGCTTCATCTGAATTTGCATCCAAACACACGAATAAAAAGGAATTCGTTACTCGATGAGATGATATTGGTTCCAGAATTCAAACTAAATCCAATTGGGTCAGAACTATTCTGGATTTTATAACCCGTTGACTTCAGTTTGCATATCGGCTGAGTTGACGAGACATTAATGTCAACGCCCACAATCGGCAGTTGCACCTGTTTTCATGGAACACGAGTTGAGCAGCATAACCCATCAGATGGCGTTCATGAAATTTCAATCCCGATTAAGTAGAATATTTTCAATCTTGATGAATAGCATCAGCTCACTTGCACTGTTCCTCTTAAACACTAATTTTCTATTATGAGTATTATATTAAATTATGTATGTTTGTATCAATGTGATAAAAATTGATTTCACCTATTATATTTTAAAAATCCTTTTATGTTTGAAATTGAAGAAAAAATCTACACAAATTTTGTAATATTAAAAGTGTCCTTCATGTGGCATTTTGTGATATATATCTTTTTCAATGTTATATGACACATAAATATCTCACGATGCATTTAGTCAAATTATTATTTGATCATCTTAATCTTTTTTTTCTTTTTACCTTAGTTATTTTTTTTATTTTTGACTCATTTAATTTATTTTTTATCCTCAAACTAGTCAGGTTTCTAAGTTATAGGCTAAACCTAATATACGTAACTCAGCTCCTTCCATCATCAGTCATACAAGACTTGTATTTTTAAGATATTTCTTCACCTTATACATATGAATATTTCTAACACTTGTGATCGATTGATTGGAGTTAAATCTCAATTGATCACGAATAATTTTCATATCAAGATACAAAAATGAATTATTATCGATTTAAATATGAGACCAATTAATAAATAAATAAATTTTGGTTGTATAAAATGTCTGAAAAACTATATTTGATCCTTTTGCATAATAATTTTTTTCATCATTATCAACCATTTTACTATTAATAATATCTTAAAATAAATAATAGATAATTTTATTATTTACATCCTCTCCCTGTTCTATCTCCCCTTCCCCACTTGTTGTTTCTCCACTCTCCTATACCTCCACCTCCCCCATGCTCACACACTCTCTCTCTCTCTTATTTTTTATCTTCGATTATGCCTACTCTCTTCCTCCTCTTTTTTATCCATCTATCTATCGTCATCTGACGACATTGTTTGTCTATCTAATATCCTTCGAGAAAAAATTTATTTATATTTATTTATAGAGAATATTATCAAAATATTAAAAGTTCTTTAAAACAAGATGATAAATAATAAAAAGGGATTGTCGATAGAATTCACTAATATTTATTGTTCTCAATTAGTTTTATGAAATTATTTTAAGTTAATATTTGGCTTATTATCACCCCATCCCCTCCCTAATAAAAAAAATAAAAAAATAATTTTTAAATTATTATTATTATTATTATTGTTATATATATATATATATATATATATATATATATATAGACACACACACACATAAATTACATGCTCTTTTTGTTGTTTGGTTAAACAAAAAGATAAATAGAAAATTAGGTATAAACAACAGCAAGAACAATAAATTATAATCGTCTAATTATTTGGGATTTTTTTTTGGGTGCCATTGAGTCATATAAAAAACTTATATTATTGACGGTTAAATTAAGAATATTTATATTTATATTTATAATTCACAGTATACATATTCTTAGCAGATGTATATACATTTTAAATACTTTATTTAATTATTCTTCTATCAAAATGAAATATAATTTTTATAAATGAAAACATTTTTGTTCCTATCATTCTTATAATCCAATATATATCACTAGTCAATTATAATTGAATAATAATAATAATAAATATGTGATAAATAGATTTTTAAGAAAATATTAATAAGTATAAATAATATTTGATTTTGAGACTTTTAATCATAAATAAAAATCTTTTGTATTACTTTTGACAAAGAATAAGCAATAAAGCTGAGATTTTATCCTAACATCATATTATCAATATTATTACAGTAAAAGTTTTTATAAGTTAAATTAATTTATATATTTTTTTAAAAATTATAGAATGATATTATAAATTCTTTGAGATATCAACTAAATTATCATAAAGTCAGGTTCGATTCTTTGAAATATCAAATATATTTATAATTTATATTATTTATCAAATATTTTTTGAAATATCTGTTGAAATATAGAGTTAAATTTTTTTTAATATGACTTTTCTTTTTAGTAACCATAAAATATTTGGAGATCATTTATTTATGATTTAGTTACAATTAAATAAGGCCAACCCTTAAATAACCAGACTCGAAATTTATATACGTATTAGGAATTAAAAGGAAAAAAGAAAGGCTACAGAAAAAGACCGGCGGACGGCGTCTTCCCTTCTCACCTGCTGGCTGGCGTGGATTCGTATATCGAAATGAAAGCAACACATGGAAGAAGAAACTTGTGTCCATCCCTCCTTTTCCTCGTTTCTTCGTCTGCTCTTCTTATTTCCATCTTCCTTTTACCTGTTCCAATCATCATCATCATCGACAGTGTTAGATAGATAGATAGGGAGAGAACCCTAATTCTTCTTCGTAGATCGATTTGTGGAATCTCCCCCCCTTCCTCCTCCTATGATGCGGTCTCGCCTCCTTTCATGAAGCAGCGGCAGCTACTTCGATCGGTCCCTCCTCCTCGCAGCATTGCTTCTGCTGGTCCCCTCTCCCGTCTCCATGGCGCCGCTCAGGATCGCGACCGACCTGCGCGACGAGGAGTGCGGCATCTCCGCCCCGGAGGACTCGCCCATGGCCAAGAAGCCGCTTAGGGCTGACTCCTCCAGGATTCCCCTGACGAGGTGGGAGGCGGCCGCGGCGGCCACCGTGTTCTTGATCTTCTCCGTCGGCCTGTTTTGCATCTTCCTCACCATGCCCGAGGCCGACTATGATAAGATCCTCAGGCTCCCGCGGAACCTCTCCGATCTTCGCATCCTCAAGTGAGCTCCTCTTGCCGAAAAAGTTGAATGCTTGTTCTCCTTGTGTTTTTCCCTTATACAGCAGATTCTAAATTTCTCTCTCTATATATACGCATATCATGATTCATTGCACGCATCCAGAAAGGTATTTCATTGATATAAGTATGAAACTTGAAGCAATCTGTTCCAAGTGTGAAGCTTTTGATCCACGTGATGCCGATTGATAGGCCGCTGCAAATGTTTACAACTTTGGGGAATTTTAGAATATGGTTAATTGTACTGCAATCTGGTTATTCTTGGTTTGGGATACTGCTTTTTTCCTTGCAGATAGTAAACGCCATAATATGTACTTGGTGCTTCATATTTGAAATACTTGCGCTGCAAGTGGAGAATACTGTATGTGCTGACAGCGTAGGACAAAGCAGTTACTTTCTCTTATTTTCTTCTCCTTTTCCTTTCCCTTATTCCTTCTCAATCATCCACCCTGTTGAATCATATCGCAAGAGTGCTGGATGCACATCTGCCGGTTGGACAATTGTTAAACTATTAAAATATAGATTGCAATTGTTAGCACGAGATGATGACTTGAGAAGTGGAAATTTTTGGTTCATGTTGGCTTCTTATCGACAACCACCTGCTTGTAACACGAGCGTCCTTCATAATTTATGAATAATTACTTTCATCTAGATGACGTCTTATCCTTCCACTACAAAGTCTTAGGTATGCATTTATATCCGATTCATTTGTTCAAAATTATGTTAACAAATGTTTATTGGAGAGTGCTCCTAATTTGCATATTCTAATGTGGGTGATGGTGGGCCCTTTACAAGCATGTGAGGATGAAATATCTGACTATGTCTTTCCATGACCTTTGATTTTAAACTGAAACTAAATCAATCCTGAGCCTAATATAGGTATTTCGCATTATGCAAGTGTTATTGCAGATTTTTAAATTAGAGATTTAGCAAGTAATTACTCTCTCTATTTTAAACAAATGCATAGAGCTTGTTTTGATATGACACTTAACTCTTCTCTTTTCTGAATGGGCATTTAAATTGTGTTGATCTAAAGTTTGCACCATAAAGGTTTGGTTCAGTAACATGGTTGGGCCATTTATCTTATTATAAAAAAGCTCTTTTGTTGGTTTGCTGGAGCCATTTTAAAATTAGTTATCAAATTTTAAAACATTCAATTTTTTAAGAAGCATATTCGTTAAATGAAGAATCATGATAGGGTTGCTTTATTGGGTCGATTTATGTTTGCACATTCATCTTTTACAGACTGGAAGGACTAGATGTTTTCTTCTCGGAAGCACCTCATTATGTCCTTGAATTTACTTCCTCTTTCTCCGAGGGTAGTTCTGTTATATGACTAATTCTGTTTGGTAAACTTATGGTGCATTGCACAAAAAACTGCCGATCTGTTTCAAATGATCCTGTCATTTCACGTCTCTTCCTGAACTACTTTGTTGGTATCTATTAGTGCCAACATTCTATTCGAGTTATGAAGAAATGCTTCTCTTTCGATTGCACTTATAATTTTCTTTGGATGTGTTTCTTTATATTCACTAATAAAACATGACCATAAAACAATGTGGTAATGCCACAAAATATTATCATATGCACATAAGAATTAGATATAGTACCAAAGCTTAGATGAAACATTTAGGAAGGGAAATATCATCCGTTCTGAGAGTCTGAGATAAATATGAGGTGGTATATGTCAGCAAAGCATGTTTGTGTTAGCATGATCAGATTCTATTTATGGCTCCTAATGTATGACAAACTATTACTTGGCAACTTCTCTGGTCTTTATAGTATCTTCTTATGCCATAACCTTGGCTTACTGATAAAAATATCAAAGAGCTTTCCAGTTTGAAGTTTCTTTCTTTTCTTTTTATTTGTAGAATCTCCTTGCACTTGGGTTTGGTTGATAGCCAATTATAACCTATCTATAATGTCATATAGAAGTTATGCTTGTGATATTATCTATTGAAAAAAACAAAAAATTCAGGTCCTTGACATCTTGTTCTTGATTAATTTTGCATTTGTGCTCGCTGTTATTCTGTTTTGCAGAGATAACCTGGCCGTATATGCCAGAGATTACCATGCCAAATTTATATTAGGATATTGTTCGATCTACATCTTTATGCAGACATTCATGATACCTGGTACCATATTCCTGTCATTACTGGCTGGAGCTCTTTTTGGGGTTGTGAAAGGTGTTATTCTGGTTGTTGTCTCTGCAACTTCCGGTGCTTCATCCTGCTATTTTCTTTCGAAGTTGATTGGCAGGCCTTTGGTTAGCTGGATGTGGCCTGAAAAGCTGAGGTTTTTTCAAGCAGAGGTATCGGCAACTTATCTTAATATAACATATATTAATTATTTGATGAATCTGTTCTTCTCTGGATGCAGATAGCAAAGCGGAAAGAAAAGCTGCTAAATTACATGCTCTTTTTGAGGATAACCCCATCTTTGCCCAACACATTTATAAATCTGGCATCTCCAATTGTTGACATACCTTTTCGCATTTTCTTTCTTGCAACCTTGGTTGGTCTTGTTCCAGCATCTTATATAACCGTTAGAGTAAGTTTCTTTTTATATACTAGAATCTAGCCTATTTTCAGTTGTTATTTCTTTATGTATTTCGTCCTTTTTTATCCTTTCTTGCTACTACTTGACATAAGATAGGATGCATATCCTTGGTGATGTCTCATGAATCCACTGGTGCCAGATGCAAAATCCATTTCTTTTATTCTTTGGGCTGCTATATTGAGTTTCTCCTGTTGGTCATTACAATTCTTTTTCTTTTTTTGAATATTGTACCTATATTTTGTTCTTGGAAGTTTTTTCTGAACATCTTCACCTTGTTTAGCATAATTTATATTCGGATGAATTTTAGCCTTCCATTGTAAGTGGAATTTGGAGAAGCACGTTAGAGATGAATCACCATGCTCTGTGCCCCCGAGGAATGCTAAACAAGTACAACGTGGGAGAGAAATGGTTATTTTATAATGTTATTCTAGGATTAACACTTAACGTGGTGATCCTTGCTGGTGGAAATACACCTTATCCATCTCTGAGTCCCACATCTTTTCTGAATTTGTACAAAATGTGAAGGTGCATCAGGTCATGTCTCCTGCACCAACTCTTTTACCACAAAATGTTGAACAAGGTATTATCAGAAGTCCTTATTTCTCAAGTTATTGTAGCAGTCTTGTCCACACAAGTATTTGAACTCCATATTTGCACCCATGAAACATATGTGCACAGACTTGTTTCTGAGACATATGTAACATAATTTTGCCTCAATATTTTGGTAGCATAACAGTGAAATAATTGTTATCACAATTTTTCCTCTTCTCTTTTCCACAACTCGATCGGCTTTGACACAAAATTTTGCCAAGGCAGTCATTTGGACTCTGTTCTGAGTTGATTTAGGCTGAGCTTGGGCTCTTGTCCTTCGGCTGCCGGGATGAGTTGTAATTCTACTTGGAAGATGTGTAGACTGGGGCCATCTTATCTTTGCTTTCATAATTGCGCCTTTGTCTGCTCATTGTGATATAGCAACATGAAAGCTTAAAGTGATTATGATTTATTTTTATTTACCATTATATTTATCTTCTCCTAAAAAAATGTTGAGGTTCTTACCTCTATTTACAATGATAAAAATGCTGCATCTATGATGTACAAAATGAAGAAGAGAAATATTTGCAGTATTCACCAACATTCTTGCAAGTTTACATTCGTCCAGATAAGCTTCTTGCATATGATAATCCTGCATATTGGCAATTTGTGTTGATCCATCTCTGGTGAACTATTGAATACATTTTGTACTTTATTGATTTTTCTGGGTTGGGTTTCCTTCCGAAATCTAATCAATCTATAACTGTACTTGGCAGTCTTTATTTTCTTTAGAAGATAATGTGTACCCAACTTCACTCGACTGCTATATACCTGCAGGCCGGGCTCGCTCTTGGGGACTTGAAATCAGTTAGGGATCTGTATGACATGAAGACGCTGGTCGTGCTGTTCCTTATCGGATTTATCTCCATATTTCCAACAATTCTAAAGAGAAAGCGGACATATGAATGAGGCTTTTGATGCATTTGAACTTTCTGCTTTTGTGAGAAACTGTTATTATCGATGGAATACACAAGGGAAAAGGGAGGGACACAGGGTAAAGCCACTTTTTTGTTCCACCATGGCCTTGGAACATCCGGCCATGTCTTTGTATGTCATAGATTTGTTTCTTGAAAGGTAAAAGGTAGCTAGATTGTAGAATCAAAATGTAACACTTGTTCGGTAAAACAAAGATTCAGCTTTCTAATTCTCTTTTAGAGATTGGCTTGGCATGCAAATCTTTTGCAACCAGATATTTATCTGGATGAATGAGAACGACTGACATCGATAGGCACGATGGTATCGTGAGCAGGTTGTATACTCTCTTGGGGAATTGGGATCGAATTTACTAAATGATTATTAACTTTTTGATTGTGATGGATAATTTCTGAGATCCATTTCAGGAACATAAACCGACAAAATTGTATTCAAGGATCGATGCTCCTGTTAATAATAATAATAATAATAATAATAAATGATAATAATGCAGGCTTATCAAGCTTCAAATCATTGACGGACCACTTCCTCACAGACGATCTCCAATGGATTTAAATAAGCGATGCGAAAAGAGAACTTTTGGACCGACCCTCCATCGAAGTTCTTACACTGCGACGAGTTATTCACAGCAGAAGGGGTGAGCTTGTAAAAGGCTCTCGAGAACGCTGCTGTCAAGATCTCCTGTCTTCATGCATGAACCGCACCACCGTCATCTCCAGTCCAAGTGCCCGACAAGATCCAACCAACCCTGCCATCTTCGACGACGTCAGCCAAAGTAGCATTCGTCCCAGGTGGTGGGGCACTCCCGCCATTATGACACCCGAGAACAGCTTTAGTGTTCTTTGGCCTTTCTTCTTCTCCCATGAGCTCAAAAGACCTCACTCACACCAGGGTGGAGATGGTCCCTGGGGAAAAGGAGGCAGGACAGGAGATCTCTCCCCGGATCTCAAGTCCTTGCCCGTGTTTTGAGGTGGATACTTTGCTGGATTTCATGCCGGAGATGAAGGTGCGACGGCTCAGAGAATGCAGGGGCCGCAGGAAGGTGGCTTGGTGATGAAGGTTTAGGTGGCAGTGCTTGTTTTCAGTGCCCGTGAAGCTAAACACCGGTGTGGTGGTTTGTGTTCCCAGTGAGTGGGTTGGGCGGTGGAGATGACCTCATCGAAGCTCCGAAATGGAGTGGTCAACCACCTCCTGGCTGGACCTAATATAATTGCATGTATGATTGCGTCTTAAGCGGCTTTCTTTAGGCAAAGTGCCTTGTGTTGGTGCTTTTCCGTGTGGCCAAGCTGAACTCATAGATTCGCAATAATGTTGTCTGCCGAGTATCTCAGTGATCAGAGAAGAAGCCTTTGAGCAAAACTTTGCACGCCGTCATGGATCCCATCGATGGTCTGTTCAGTTAACGAGTAATGTAGCATGATATCACCAGCTTCTCGTACAAAGATTGAGCGGTACGGGGATTGCATATATGGACGCGACTGTTTTGCTACTCTGAGATTCGTGCTTTGGGCTTAAACATCGTTAGTAGCATCTTCAGTATCATCGTCTTCTTCTTGTCCAATCCCCGGAGCTAATGGCGATCAACCTGTGGATAACAACTGGCTACGTAACGAGGCAAGAAACAGAGGGAATAAAAGCGAGAAGAAAAGCTTTCCAGCTTTGCTGTGTTCTTCAGCTGTGTGAACTCGAACTGTCTCTGGAAAAGGTTGATGTTCGCAATTCTCCGGTAGATCTGGAATTGATGCTCGCTTCTTTTCTAGAGAGAAACAGTTTGCCTTTCGCATGAGCAAAAAGAAATGGATGATCGAACCACAGCCGGGTGTGCTAGTCCTGTCAATGGAATTCACAGAAAACACCCCCCACACAGAAATCTGTCGCTGTAGCTCTTAACACTGTAGCCACGGGGAGGAAGAAGAAGAAGAAGAAGAAGAAGAAGCTGTTCTGGGATTGGATGGGCAAATCGGCCCTATCCAAAATTGCACGTCACGTCGTGTCTCTGCCGTATACGACGTGTCGATGCGAGGGTCACGCTGCGGCCAGACCGTATGGTCTTACGTTCCCGTCCACGTACGGAGACGGGAGAATTATTGAGGTGGTGGAGGAGGAAGGGGCAGCATCAGATGTTGCAGTTGCCATCGATTAGTCCCAGGACAGTGCTGCTGCACTACCACCACAAGTGCCGCAGGTACACAACCCGAATCATCACCATCTTTTCCCACCTCTCCTCTGGACCAGTGGCCTTCATTCGCAGCATCTCCACGTTTGGTATGTGGCCTTCTTCCCTTTCCCCTGTTCTGTGATGTACCCGATTGATTGACGCAGTCCTCTCCTTGGGTTCTACCAGCAGTGGCAGTGCGAGCGAGCCGACGTGACCCATGAGATCTCACGGAGATTGTCCCCGGACCGCAGGGATTCGGGTCGTACCATTTGCATGTTATTGGGTCCGAGCCCGGGCATCCGGACCCGCTTGCCCTGCTCCTGCCGGACCGCATCGATCTCAGTCTCATCTTCCGCTTGTCCTGCTCCTGCCGGACCGCATCGATCTCAGCCTCATCTTTCTTCGTCAGAACACGCGGTGCTCACTGCATTCTGGCCACATGACCACAAGCCTTAGCCACATCAATGGAATGTCTCGTGCTCAATCATCTTCGTGGCTTCTCATCACCGAATGATCCTTCCCTATCCACTCCACACGAATCCGCTGGAGTTAGTGGCACGCCAAAAGAGAAAGGAGGCCGAGGAAGCACCGGAGGATGGGATGCCTCCACCGCCGATCCGAGGGTCGCCATTGGTCCACGCTGGCTGAGATTCCGCTGACTGGCCAATAAAGGTACGACCGCAACGGGTTCGTCTCGTTGTGCTCCACGTGGCTGTTGAGCCTCTTTTACGCCCCTCTGCTGGAACTAACTCCATGCACGCATCGCTTCGTGTTCAAAAGCGTCGCTTTTGGTGCAAAGAATGGCATCCATTTGGTGCGTGTGTGAATGATCTGCTTGGGATTTGGATGCAGCTAAGGAATAGGGAAAGATGAAATGAGAGAGCACCAAGACAACCTGTTTATGAGAAGAGGAAGAAGGTCAACATGTTCTTGAGAACATGCATCTGGGCAAGCTAAGGTGAGATAGGGTGGAACGCTAAGCTTGATGGCTGTACCGGAAACATTGAATGGATGCGTTTATTGGCACAAACTGAAGAAATGAAGGGATGGATCTCAGTATATTTGTTGCTAAGTGCTCAAACCAGATGCCTATAATCAACCATATGATTCTAATAGATAGATAGATAGATAGATAGATAGATAGATAGATAGATAGATCGATAGATCGATAGATAGGCTTTCCAGCCTTGTTCTAACTAGATGAATGGGTTGGAAAACACTAGCCTGAAATGCTTGCGGGCAGTACACTGGAATATTGTTTGTTGATGCTATATATCCTATCCTAAATGGTGAAGCATGTTGCTGTGGGATTATTCCGCTAAGAAATATTATAATCAGTGTTCTCTAAACAGGAAAAGCATTACCTGTAAGGAAAAAGATGAGCGAGGTATGGTTGATTGGCACTCCAACACATACCACATGCTCTCAAATATCTCACTCCTTTCATGCAGCAACGGAATTGCAGCATAATTCTTCTTTTACTTTTCGTTTCATGGGGGGTGAGAAATAGATCAGACAGACGGAGTGAGCGAGAAAGGAGGAGGTGGAAAAATCGACAATATATAAGAGCTGGAAAAGGAGGGAGTGGTGGTGGTGGTGGCGGTGGTGGTGGAGGGCCCCTGCACGGCTCAAAAGGTTCCAAAGAGAGAGAGAGAGAGAGAGAGAGAGAGGGAGGGAGGGAGAAGGCCTGACCTTTCGCCCCTACAAATACCCCCTCCCCTCCCCTCCCTCGTTTCTCATCAGCTTGGCCTCCTCTGAGACATCTCAAGCCAAGCCGACCTCTCTCTCTCTCTCTCTCTCTCTGAGAGGAGGGTGGTGGACAAGAGGAGGAGAGGGATCACATCATACCTCTCTCTCTCTCTCTTTCTCTCCCTCTCTCTTTGTCACTACCTTCCATTTCCTGCTCTCTTTCAGCAACTCGACTGCATCTCAGTATTATACAGCCTTGGTAGAGGTAAACTACAGTTTTACAGACTTGTCTTCACTTGCTGCTTCCCGCTCTCCGCCTCTCCTGCTGCTATTATATGATCCGTGGGGCTGCACTCTCTCATCCTCCGAGTTCTTATTGCTTTGCCATGCTTTCTTTTCCTTGCAGTGATTCATATTCTATATCCTGTCGATCGAGTTCCAAACTTTGTGCACGAAGATGTCGGTGGCTGTGCTGCAATCACCCTTCCACCTGGAGAAGTACGGCTGGCCTGCGCCAGAAGAGACGAAAGATGACCCTGTGATGGCCGTGGAAGACGACCACAACCGGCCGGGGCAATTCGACATCTGGAGTGCCATCCAAGCGCAGAAGGGCGCTATTCCGGTGGCCGCCGATCCGCCGGCTCCTTATGTTCATCCTCTGATGAGTCGGTCCTCGAGCTCGCTAAGCCAGATGAGCCTCCAGATGTGCACGGAGAGCCTCGGCTCGGAGAGTGGCTCCGACGACTTCTCCTCGGTTCCCGACGGCCTTGACTTCGATTACTCGCCCAAGAACGAGACAAAGACGGAAGAAGAAGACCACGACGTGCATGAGAAGGTGGCAGTAGTTGAAGAACGAGGAGGACTGTGGTCTAGAACTGAAACAGAGGAGCGCCAAGTGCCGCAACGCAAAGCGGATGAGCTCGTATCGGTGAACTACAATTGCTCCATCAGCAGGAGGTCGCCGTCGCGTTCGTTCCCTCCGCCACTGCCATCTCTCTCCCGCCGCGACGGGCCCTGCCTCCACATGAGGCCCCATCGCCGCGATGGCCGCCTCGTCGTCCAGGCTGTACTCGTACCTTCCCGGAACTACCTCCACGCTCAGCGCGAGGGCGGTCGCCTCCTCCTCTCCTTCGTCGACGCCACCTTCGACGATGACTCCTCCGAAACCGTCGAAATCGAACAGCCACATGAGCACCACCAAGTTATCGATGAAATCGAAGAGAACAAAGCAGAGGAAGTGAAACTGAAGAACTGCTACGAGGCAGACGACGACGAAGAGGAGGAAGAAGAGGAAGTTGAAGTAGTCGACAGGGGAACCGTCATCGAGGTGAAAGTGAGCACACAACCCCAGCAACCGAACGGCAGCGCCATGAAGATCCTCCGGTCTTCTCTCGTCATCAACAAGTTCGTCGGCGGCACGCCGCGGAGCAGCAACGCCAAGTGCGAGCAGAGCAATCTCAACAGCATCAGCCGGTGGCAAGCTATCACACCAGCGACAGTGGCACGACGACCACCACCGACACCCGCCACCGCAGCAGCTGCAGTGGTGGTAGCCTCTACCCTCAGCGCCTCCACTGAAGCTTACAACGACGAGGGAGCGCGGCCTTCGCTCGGCGACGACGAACACCACCTGCCACTCGACAACAAGCTGCTCTTCACCTCCAAGCGGCGCAACCGCGAGGAGCTGCTTCACAGCATGAAGCGGTGCAGTCAGCTGCGCAAGCCATTGTTCATCTGGGAGCCCTGTTGCATTGCCACTTCCTCCTGAGCCACAGAATCCATTCTACCCTCTTATCTATCTATCAACTAATCTACCGATCTATGCATCTATCTATCTATCTATCTATCTATCTATCTATCTATCCACCCACTTATTGAAATTGATATGACTACCATTGACATAGTAATGATCATCCGATTAATAAGTTGGAGTGTGTCGAGGGCATTTCACTGTTTGGTTTCATTCAGACAGTCTGCTGCCACTCTTTAACTACCGAAGTCTCTCTTTGTTTTTCCACTCCGTGGTTATATGTTGACACCATGATTTAATGGACGACTTGATATGATGATTGTGATTACTCATTTGTTGTTCATGTTGTTGATGTCTTTTTTGCCGAGTGATTTGAAGTGATTATGATCGACAGTAAGCTTCGGTCACAGTTTTGTTGGCCATGAAAACAGATCTAAGGTAGATTAATCCGATCTAATCCCCAGCCCAGAGGACTCAACCCCGAACGTCTCTCCTGGTCTCAGCCCCGCCTCTTCGAGGTCAACTGCTACGTCGTCTTCAATGCCTCCATTCGCCCACTCCTATTCCGAGGTTCCGACACATGACCTGTCGAAGCCTGCCTGTAGTACTCCATTCTTCATCATCATCTTCTTCATCTTACTGCAACAATCGACAGCCACAAGTAGGAAACTAGTATTCTTCGTCATGCCATGCCACCGATCGCCAACTTGATCTTATCCGCATGCACCCATGGCCGGAAATTGTTTTCTGCCTAAATTCCTTTTCTACTTGGGCTGCACAACGAGAACAATGGCTCCTCGAATGATGTGAGTTTTTGGAAGAGGTATACGTATATTATTTTAACGAATTACACGAAGAGAATATGAACACAATGTACTGAAGCATCTAAGAACCTCCAAGAAGAGAAAAGTAGGCAGCATGGGCAGCAAAAAGAATTGGCCATTGGAGTCACAATGGAGATCATGACATAACAGAGGTTCCATGGTACGACATGGTGGAATCCACTACCCACACTTGCATTGTGAACACCGATATCAGCTGCCGGATGATACCTTTGCTTAGTCTAATGAACAAAAGAGGAAAAAAGGGACAGTAGCTCGTCCGGAAGCATCTGTGTGTGCCATTCGACTCATCCGTATGTCCTGAGGAAACAAAGATTTTAGAAGACAAGCTACACGATGGCCATAGCCATGCAGTATTGCACACCCATGCGAGCACACGAGCGGGACAAGCAAATAGGAAGGCTGCGTGACACAGAAGCTATTGCTTTGCTTGGCAACCACAGGGAAACTGGAGGTTGGCCTACCGGTAATAGCCAGCAGGGTGATCGATCACCTGCAAATTGTGGCATGGATATAACATGCATCGCTGTGCAGTGATCGACAGAGCAAAGGCACGTTGACAGGAGAAGAAAGGCGAAGAACCAAATGCATTCTGTAAAGCCAACTCTGCAACGACTAATCACTACCCACTAACGGAGCTTGCTGGTGAGCGAGTAATGCTTTTGTTCCTTCTTCCCCAGTGGTGAATGTTTCATGACACGCATTTGGAAAGCTCAGCGCCATTGGACAAGGGGAATCTGATCCATTCTCTGTGGCTCTCCCAACTTTAGCTCTCTTGTATGCTTGTGCCAAAAGGGTGGCCTGATGACTTAGGATCTTGCAGTTGTGCATCGTTCCAACTGGGTCGCAAGGCCATCATCCCAAGGTGAGCCTAAACGGCCACCGGATCGAGTCTGATCTCGTCATCAACACTGAAGGATTGATTGCCTGTGTTCTTGTTGGTGCAGCAGCTGCAGAAAACCAGTCTAAATGGAGACAGCGATGCCCCTCACGATGGGGTTGCGCAGTGATGCTTAACTCACGGTCTTGGATATGCGTGGCTCCAATGATCGACATCTTCTGGTAGCGGTGATCCTGTTGGCTTGTGGATGAAAGCCGGAGTTGTTCTGTGCAAAGATGACGGCCCATATACCAACGCTTGTCGTCTTCTTCCGTTAGGCAAACGTTTACGTGGCAAAGGATTGCCATGTGAGGCAGAGACCATTTGCCTTTGATTGGACGGTTTTCTCTGATATAATAATTTATTTTTCTTTGTACAATTCTGATCGATCAATCACGTCCAGAGTTCATTTCGATATGATTGCTACAATATCAAATCAAACATTATGATATATATATATATCACAGGTTTATTGGGTTTAATGTGAGTCCAGCCCGGCCCAAATTAAGGGTTTGAACCAACGAGTGGAGTCAGCCCAGTGAGCGGTGACGACAGGCTATGATCAGTATTACTATAATGGGAAGCGACTCGATCGAACCAGTAAGTCAATTGGTCAGACCGCATGTTTGATTAAAAATATATTAAATAATTGAAAATTATATATGGTAAAATTTTGAAATATTAAAAATAATTAAAAAAAAAGTTATATAGGAAATAATAAAAATGACGAATATTAAAAAATATAAACATTAAACATTAGTGATAATTATATAAAGTCGGATCGATTTTAATTTTTTTTCTCACATCAACCTTAATTTCATGATTAACGTAAATGCTCTCTTATACAACTAATAAAAAAACTTAAAAGTGTTTAACTAATCTTTCGTTGTGTTGTAGAACCTAATCAATTTTATGTACTTCGATCAGTCCATGCGGATTATCTAAAATATAATTGGGTTAATCGGTTCATTTTAATTTTTTAATACATCCAATCTAATAATTTTGATTTCCATTCTCAAGTTTTTTCACTCAATTCTATCTAATTTTGATAACTATACCTCGACTCATGCACGTACACAATGGAAGAAGGCTAATTATATTATCCTTACAGTTAAATTTTTTTAACAATTATATTAAAAAATTTATAATTATGAAAATAAAATATTTAACTTTATTTATTTTAACATTATTAATTTTACCAATATATAGATCAAATCAAAAATTTCGTGTCATTTGAGACATTGATAAGATTAACCATCATATTGTTTTTGACTATATCTCTCGTCCTTAAAATTCATATCATTATGATAAGTTTTTTCAATTCGATCTCGACCTAAAAAGAATATATTAAAAATTTTATAATTATAAAAATAAAATATTTAATTTTATTTATTTTAATATTATCGATTTTACCAAGATATAGATCAAACCAAAATTTTCATGTCATTTGAGACGTCGATAAGATTAACCATCATATTGTTTTTGGCTATATCTCTTATCCTTAAAATTCATATCATTATTATAAGTTTTTTCAATTCGATCTCGACTTTAAAAAAATTATATTAAATTTTTTATAATTATAAAAATAAAATATTT